AGGCCCTTCCCTACCTGTATTTTTGGCAGGTTAACACAAAACTGACCCTCATTGCTATAGCCTGTTGGAGCTCCCACCTTCTGTGCAGCCATGGGAGCCTGTATCAGTCAATGATCTGCCAGCAGGGAAAATCCTCACTGGTAAGGATTAAGGCAGGTAACCAAATTAATCCTTTCCATCACTAATGCAAACTGTCTTAAACAAAACAAGCAAACTTAAAATCTACACGTTTAAGAAAGCATCCTACTCAAATCAATGATAATTTTGCTTTTGCAAGAATCAGACTCATAATATGTGCAATGCATTGGCAAAGCACAGCACGCACTTCTTACTGCCAGAAATATTTTCACTGAGAGTCAGGATACCTTCATTTATATATAATTTCCAAACATTGAGTTTATTGAAATCATAAATAAAATTCTATTTTATCTTCTCCTTATGGTTACTCAGCAGTTTAAAATGCCCTTGCTCATCCAGTGAAGCAAGAAACCAAGAAGAACACAGGAAAGTGTAGGGAGTGGAGTACTCTCTCCATATTCAGGAACTGCTGAGGTAACAGAACTAAAATATTTTTGAGTTTGTTGAGTTTGTTTCATACCTCCAAACAATGCTGCTTTATAAGGTCAAGTTCTGTTTCTTGATGGCGGTATCATTCCAGTCACCATAATTAGCTCTTAATCTCCTAAACATTAGTGTGCTCTTTATCCGTGTGCCATCCACCTACATGCACGTAGGGGACTTGGGTTCATTTAAACTGCACAGTTCAGAGTCCACATCCTGGCTCTCCCATATCATTGCTGATTCAGCTGAATCAGCACCAACAGCTCAAAATCTTGGTAGCTACTTTGTCCGCACAGGAGTGAAATGCAGCCAGCCCTAAGTAGTGATAACTGCTAAGCCCAGTGTGCTCTGGTGGATTCTGGATTACCAGACTGACCTGATATTAGCAGAATACTCCTCCAAGCTCCTCAGCCATCTTGTCTAAAATGCCATATTTGCTTCTAGAGGTTTTCCAGAGCTTTGCTGTTTCTTTTTATGTTGTCTGTTTCCAGCTTTACACCTACTGACAATTATTTGTCCACCTATTCAAAACAGAATGCAATCAAATGCAAAAAGTGCTTCCAAAGCTTTCTCCCCACAGTCAAAGAAGGTCTCTGATGATGAACAGCAGCCTGTTGTTCAGTCTAGCTACAATGGTATGTTAATCCACTGAGGGTGACCAGGGAAACTGGGAGTTTTCCACTCTCATAAAATACCTCAAGCGCCTAGAGGAAGCAAAACCCTCTCCAGTCATTATATAACATCAACTAACTCTTTAAAAACTCTAAAGAAAATATGTAGCACATGTAACAATAATGTGAGACGGATGGAAAGAATGTATTCTATGGACACATACTCCGAGACCATGATGAAATATTTCCAGAATCTACTATCCACAGGAGACCATATTTTTTTTCTGTTATTCCTTGTTTGGTTGGTTTTTTGTTTTGACTTTTTTTTTTTTTTAATAGATCCCAGTTATTTAGAAGGTTTGGTAAAGACCTGCTCTAGTCAATGAGGTACCAAAGTGTTGCCAGCATTAAATGGTTGATGACAGTGTATGATTTTTTCATCACAATTAAAACTAAAGGATTCTATATTTATTTGCAAACTTTGTATAGAAATAGTGGCATCTAGTGAAATGGGGAAAAAACCCCCACCCAAACCCAAACCCAAACCAGCCAACATTCAAATTGTATTTTCAGAATCACTCTCAAAGAACTGCATCTAATGTTAGATTTAACTTCTGATGTCAGAAGTCAGTTTCAGCCCTGAAATATTTATCTTGGCCTACATTTCAGCAATATGGAACAGAACGTAAACACGATCTTTAAGGATCCTTAATATATGTTAAGCAGCAATTTAGTTATTTGAGTTGATTGAAGTGGCTACCTCTCTTACATTCCACCGAGTAGTGAAAAGATTTTTCCCAACAAAGGCTTTACTTTTGCTAGGATGACTGACATTGCCTTTCCCAAGCAAGTAAAATTGATAATAATCTCCATCCAGCTTACCACAGTTTATGAAGAAGTTATTAAATAAATTTTATCAGAATAAAAATAAAGGAAAGCATCACACATGGAGCAGATAACGCATTTTTTTTCTAGTGCAGTTTCCAAAAAGGAAAAATCTTGAACTTTTTTATTGCTAAGAAATGAGAAAATATAGAAAATTATAAGGAAGTGTTGGTCAGCTATGGACCTAGTTGGAAACGGCATATTTTCCACTGAAGAAATTGATGTGTATGTAAACAGGCAATGATTCAATAATTAATGTCAATAATTAAATATTTCAGAAAGTAGTTTGTCACTACATAATTAGAAGGAGGAACAATTCATTCTAATTGATTAATTTTAAATGAAAAGTAGAATTGCACACTGACTTTTTGAAAATATGTTAAAAAAAATCCATTGCAGTGAAATTATATGGGATTTGATTTACCATTATTTGCATCTGATGACTCTGAGATTACTTTTGGAAGACAGCCAGTTGTCTACAGATCAATGGAAAACAAACATTTGTTTTCAGTAGGTGCTCCTGGCACTGTGCTGCATGATTCAGCAAAGCATGCCAAGAAAATTCAGCTTGAAGGTTCCTTCCAAACTATGCAAGGCATTCCATTGCATTTCACAAGTCATGTGCCCACAACATGTGAAGCCCTATAACCTGTATTTCTGAGGACATTAAAATGCTTTTGAGCTATTCAAAAACTATACATTAGATTAATCACCAAAACTTAAGGTCACTTAGTCATTCTTCTGCATGGAGGATGAAAAAGTGAGGATGATGGAAACCATGTACAATGACTATGTACAAAACGTATTTCCTCAAGAGTCTTGAAAATGGGATGCTTTGATCTTATGGCTGCCTAAACTGAAGTTCATGAAACTAATAAAGTCACAAGCATTGTGGCAAGAATTGATGACAAACTGCTTGCTCACAAGTTTTATTTAAAATCATTCATTTACCAAAGCCATGCAGAAAAAAAACCAAAAAAAAACAAACAAAGGAACTTAGTTTTCCAGTACACTTCAAGTATAAAACCAGCAGAGCCTATTTCAGATGCTGTGAAAGAAATGTCCTTTCAGAGAATCATATGCCTTATGGGAGGGTTAAAATCTGAAGAGGGGAAACAGTCTGCTTGTAGAAGGAGCTCGGTGCTAGGAGATAGTGTGCTGGGAGTGTTAGGAACCCCATGCCCCACGTACCCCCCACACCCTGCCTCAGAAAGCACCCTCTTGTTCCAGTTTCAAACTCGCTTTCTCCCAGTCTTTTACTTTCCGTGGCCTTTATTAATCCCTACCTACATCTTTCACAGAATCACAGATGCATTCACATTGGAAAAGACCTCTGAGATCATCGAGTCCAATCTTTGACCAAACACCACCATGTCAACTAGACCATGGCAATAAGTGTCACATTCGGTCTTTTCTTAAACATTTCTGGGGGTGGTGACTCCACCACCTCTCTGGACAGCCCATTTCAGTGTCTAATTACCCTTCCTGTGAAGAAATTCTTCCAGATGTACAATCTGAACCTCTCCTGGCGCAGCTTGAGAGTATATGGTCTTGTCCCTTGATCTTATGGATGAGGATTTTCCTTCTGCCAGCCAACAAGGGAAGAAGGGGGAAATCTGCTGCTAGATTTATTGAACCTGACTTTCACATTTGCTTCAGTTGTCCATGCAAAGAGCTTGATGAACTCATCTAGCAAACCAGGAAAGAAAAAAAAAAGAAAAAGAAAACCCATCCATATTGAAGAGTCCTAAAAGCAAGCAAAAGTTGGTATTATATTAAAAAGTTATTGTATTAAAACAAACAACCAAAAGTTATCATATGAAAAAAATCTTTTCGGTGGTGCCTAGCAATAGGATGAGGTGAAATGGCCATAAACTAAACCACAGAAAATTCACCTCAACATGAGGAAGAAATTCTTTCCACTGAGGGTGGCAGAGTACTGGAACAGGCTGCCCAGGGAGGTCGTGGAGTCTCCCTCTCTGGAGACATTCCAAACCATCTGGATGCGTTCCTGTGTCACCTGCCCGAGGTGACCCTGCCTTGGCAGGGGGGTTGGACTGGGCGATCTCCAGAGGTCCCTTTCATCGCTAACAATCCTGTAATTCTGTAAAAAGCGACCTTGTCTGAGGGTACCAAAACACACCTCCTGAGAGGAAACCACCCCAACCCTGCAGCTGTAGCCGAAAGGAGCGATTTTTTCCCCCTACAGCCACTTAAACCCCTTCTGTTTTCACCACAGACCTTTCCCCCCACGGCCTCCGGGAGTCCCGGGCGGGGCTCCAGCCACCGCCCCGGGGGTGGGGAGGCCCGTCCAGCGGCCTCACGGGAGTTGTAGTCGGGCGGGGAGCGGCGGAGCCTCACCCCGGGCCGCCTCTCCGCGACATGGCGGCGGCGGCCGCGCAGGTACCGAGCGACACCTCCCGCACAGCCGCCGGGGGAGCGCGGCGGGGCCGGGGGGGAAGAGGCAGCGGCTGCCAGAGGGAGCGGGGGCGGGGGGGAAGTAACTTCAGCGGCTTCCACTTGTTGCTGCTCGGAGCTGGGTTTCGAGGGGTGGAGCCCCGGAGGGGAGAGAGATGCCGGCGGCCTTTGGGGTGCCGGGGTCGGCCTTGTGGCGGGGTGAGCGCAGGCAGGGCAGGGGCACATCAGCCCAGGGTGGGCTCTGGTTGCTGGCCTGGGATACCCCTCGAACGGAGATTCCCCGGCCCTCAGGGGCACCGCCGAGGCGGACGTCGGCCACCAGCCAGAGCCAGTGCCCCCAAGTGTCATCGTGTCCACCTGGTGAGGGATGACTTTAAACCGACATGAACACCGTCCTGTTTTCTCCCCTCCTGCGGCTGTAGGAGGAGCGGAGTCACCCTGCTGGAAACCAAACACCCTCCCGTGTCCGTGCCCTCACCCCGCTATAAAGTGCTGACAGGCAAATATTTGCCGCTTGCCCCTAATCCCGCTTTGCCCTTGTGTCGGCAAATCTCCGGCGGATGGAAAGGGAGAGAGTTTTGCTGGCACACGGGGCGGCTGGGTCTGTCTCCAGAGCAGATGCCGGGGTTGCAGCCTCCTCCTCCGGCTTATGTTGATCCTGGTAATCCAGAGTGAGCAAGGAAAAGGGAAAAAAGAAAGGTTTTAGCGAACTGGTTGTCCGCCGCTTTTGTGCTCTGGATTCTCCTCGGTGGTGAGTCCTGCGGTGGTGAGTTGGACTGTGGAGGGGCTGTGCTGTGTTTTGGAAGCTGGTGAATTCCTTGCTGCTGCAGCTGCCTGTTCAGGAGCTCAGGACCCGGCTGTTTTCTGCCTGGGTCATCGCACCCACCCTCCTGCTGATGTTTGCAAGGTTTGTTTCACATACAGAGTTGGTCGGCTGCAGGTGTCACAGTCCTGGTTCTGCTTCTCACTTGAAACCAAGTTTAAATTAGTTTCAAGTTTAAACAGAGGGAGCAGTACCAGGCCTTTGCCTCTTTAACGCTGAAGATCGAAAGTGGGTGTTTGATTTTATCCAGCTCAGACTTCATGCACACACGAGGCAAGCTAGGATGAAACTTTGAGGGTAAAACATGTTCTCTGTCTTGTCAGGAACAAGGCAACATGTTCTTTCTTGATGTTTTTCTTATTTTCAGTTCTGACATGGTGTTTCAGAACATGCGGCAGAGGAGATAAACTGTCTTGCAGTAGTGTGTTTTATGTTTTCCAGATTTTATTGTGTACAAGGCAGTTTCCTGTAGTCTTTAAATGATCCTCGTGGGAGTGTTTGAATTTAAAAAATGTGCTAGATAATCCAAATAGTGTCTCCAAACATTCACATTCAGAAGACTGCACTGCAGTTAAAAAGTTGTATTTAAGATGCTTTGGTGCAAAACAAGTGATAGCCTATTTTGCTCTGCTTGTTGTAGTAAAGACAATGCAGAAAGAATCGTGTCCTGCAGAATATACCACCTAAGGAGTCTTTCTGCTGTGCCTTTTGCAATCAGATATGTCTATCTCATATTGGCCTCATTAGCCACCAGCGTGCTTGTAACAAATGTGGATAGAGCCTTCCTAAATCTTCGTTCACGAAGCCTACCCATGATATTTGACAGCATTTGTTGTAAACATGGTTTCACTACTTCTTCTGAAGAGCCTGTTAGTTCGTTATGGAGTCTAATTTTCACATATAAAAGAGTCTCTTATGTACACCATCTGATAACAGTGAGTGTATTGTATTTGCAGTCCCTCTCTCCACTGCTAGAGGGTTACATAAAAGGAATAGGAATTTGTCCTAATGTCCTGGAGGCCAGGATCCTCTAAGACTTGTTCTGTGAGTGATCCAAATCTAAACAAACAACTAGGGAGAGAAAACTCTTAAAGATGTAAAGAAAACTATGTAAAATTGTGGAAATTATGCGATGCACTCAAGGAAAATAGTGCTGATTTTTTTTAATCTCAAATTGTTATTTGTTTTTCTTAGTTGATTACATTTAAAAATTAACAATTGCCTATTTGTCACATAAACCCTGAACTCTTCTAGTATTCTTTAGATGTTGTTGAGATTATTAAACTGAAGGGAACTGTAAGAGCCCTGAGTGCTTTCATTGTTACATATTACTGGGTTTATTTATTTGTATTACTATGTTTTTATGTGTTTGGTTTTGCCAAAGCAAGGAAACTTTTTAGCAGCTTGTATCCAGTCTAGTTCATATTTTCATGTAGTAATTCCTGTTTGTCCAGGGAGTGGTGGCTGTTTGTGTCCAGAAATTCTGTAGTAGTACTAATTTAAAGTACTTTACCCAAATGTATTCTGAAGATGGTTTCACATTTGTAACACTGGTAGAAGGAGCAGAGCCTTTTTGCAGAGTGCCTGGATCTCAGTGCTTGGTACAGTGCTGGGAAACTTGCTGTGCAGGGCCTTGACTTGTATACCCTTCCCTGTGATTTAATATTTTTGTCCATCAGAGTATTCTGTGTTTGTTCATGGTATAGTGATCTCAGCAAAGATATTTTTAAACAGTTAACCCCTGAATGTGTCCACCATGACATTTAATTTCTTGCTGGGAAGAAGGATGAGAACAGGAAAGCTCTTGCTACTGCTACAAGCCAGTTTAGGTTTTGAAAGTGAACCGGTTGGATCAGGGTATCCCTGAATAACTGGGCTCATGCCAAGCCTGCGTCATCTGTGAGCCTGTCTGTTCCCAGCCTGCCCAGCAGTTGCAGTCTCATACAGGCCTCTCTTCCAAACTTTGGGGCTTGAAACTCTGAAATTTCCCCTTCCCTACAAAATGGTGACCTACACTAGAAAACCCACAAGAAAAGAGGGAGAGGAAATACTCTGTTCTTCCTGCTGCAGAGGAAAGGAAAACAAGAGTTCTTTCTGTTGGCTCTGGGGCAGCATGAAGCACTTGGTGGCCTGTCAGTTTGAGTTGTCTCAGCGTGCTTTTCACTTGCCTTGCCCTCTATTTGATCTCCATGCATGTGACCAAAACCTGTAATTTTCAGTGTTACAGGTTGCTAGTTCACTGGGAAGTATATACAGGCCAGGAGTTGTCCTAGGGAGCTGCCACTGCTGTTGGACGTGTGCAGTGCTAATGGTGGGCAAGTCTCAACACCCACCTGCCAAACTTCCCAAAACCATTAGCTGGAGGAAGCCTTTTCAAGTGCCTTTGAAACTTTGTCTTGGAAAGCCTGTGTGGAGTGGTAGATACAAAGGTAAAAAATCCTGCTAAGGAAAGATCCCATTCCAAAGAGCCGGGATGTAATGGTTGTTGGTTTTAACCTATCCCAAAGTCTCGGAGGTGGCTGAAATGCTTTAGTCAGGCTGAGCTTGCTGAGGGAGTTAACAAAGCTCAGAGACCAACTTTGGAGACCTGAAAAACATGAGAGTTTTTGAAATCTCCAGGCTTGGACAATGAGCAAGTTGGGTGTCATGAATCACCAACACTCCTTTGCAGCTGGAAGTCTTCTGCTGTTTCTATTTCTGTAGGTGTTCTGTAGGTTTCTATTTCTGTAGGTGTCTACAGGGTGCTCCTCAGAGTAGCACCCGAGCATCAGGTGTATGGCTTGAAGAACGTGTAAATAGTTGTGCAAGTTACGGAGAGGAAGAGCAGGTTTTGTGGCAGGGAGGGTACATGGTGACATGGGGGGAATGGTTTGGGAGTATGAGAGCACAAATGGGGAAAAGCCTTTTAACTTCTGAATGAAATTTATCTTTTCAGCTCACCATCCAGGCAGAGGGATACCTTCTCGAGGGGGAGTGAAATAGGATGGAAGCAGCTGAGAAGAACCAAGTCTCTGGGAGAGTTATGGTTAGGTTAATTGGTAGATATTAGTAAACAAGGTAGAACTCCTGACATGGGGCAAGGTCTGGTGTGTTCTAAGGAAAAAGGGCAGACGAGTTTGTTAAAAGTGATACTAGTGCAATTCCTGTTATCAGAAGAGTGCTCTTCTCTTTGTAAACTGACTGCTTCCTCAAACAGGGAATTTCTCTGGTCATGAGATAGGGCTGAGACAGGGTTGTCTTAGTGAGATATGTACAAGCCTGTTTGAAGGAAGTGATTGTTTGAGTTCATGTTGTTCAACAGGAGTCTCTGTCTCTCCTCTGATGCAAAGTCTGATCCCTCGTCCTGTGTGGCAAAGTTCAGTGTAAGGTTTTAAAGAGTTTTAAGCCAGGTCTTAGAGTGGAGGTGCAATTCAGTAGGTGCAGCATTAAAAAAAAATTGTTAGGGTTGCCAGCTTTGCCCACATGAGGTTAAAAATTAACTATGTCTCATGGAGTTCTTACTGTGCCACTAGTATAGTCATGTCTGTTGCCAAGTTTTGATTTTTTTCTAAGAACAGGTTGCAAATACAATGAATAGAGATGGAATGCAGGTCAGTTGTTCATAGAAAGGGAAGATTGTACAAAGAAATTTATAAAACTTTACTGATTCTTCTGTGTCAGTCTCTCTTTCAGATTAGGGGTACAAGCAGTATTTTATGAATATTGTTAGTTTGTGAACCTATGCTGTAAAATGCAAATATCCCTAGAGCACAAGAGCCTTCCCACAAAAACAGCTTTACTCTAAGGAGTCCTTAACTATAAAATGCTTCTTCTCTGTGAGGCATTTGTGAAATACGTGATTGTTTTTATGCACTTCATCTTGTTACTCTATTCTGCTATGCCAAAATAAACTTCAAAACAAGGTTTGTGTGTATCAACATGTGGAAAATCCAGCATGAGTTTGCAGCATGGTCTTATACTTGAGGTACTAGAAGAAATAAACATTCCTCTAAAATGTTTTTGTTTGTCATTGAAATGTGAAGGTTTGTTGGTGTAGAAAATGCAGGGGGAAGATTAATTTAGCAAGAAAATTTCACTTCTCAGAATGGAAACCCTAGCTGACATTCAGGCTGTGCCTGCCTTTTGTTTTTAATTGTCCTGTGTATTGTAGTCCAGCGTGTGTTTATATCAGTCACATTTCTTTGTATGCGGTGTTAAAGCACAAAGGTTTGGGTTGCCCAGTAAAAGCGTGTGTGTGGTTACGACAGAAGAGTCACTCTGTCCTTTTTATAGCTCACTTCAGACTCTTACTTCCAGCAAACAGTTCTTCAGATTCATGAATGTGCAGCTTTATGTACCTGCGTGGTACAAAATGGGAAAAACTAGCAGCACAGTTGCCAAGAATTCCACTGGGGCTCTGTTTCCTGTAACAACAAAGTACCAAGTAGTTTTTCCAGACAATTACTGGAATGAAATTATTTAGCTAAATCCAGTGGTGTTGCGGTCCTGAGAGTTAGGGATTTTCTTTTCCCAGTTCCTTCTTCATCTTTGCTGTGAGGTTTGTATTCAGTGTTCTTTTGTTAGTGTGTCTTGTAGCCAACTGTATGACTAGATAGGTTGGGGTTTTTTTCCACAGTGTGCTTTGCTGTTATCAGTCAGTATCTGCTTTTATAGGACAAATCATGTTCACACCACACAAGGGAATAACACAGTTAAGGTTGTTGTGACTCAGAAATATAAGTTTTATCTCAGTATCCTCACTTGTCTGTTTCGTTTCATATGGAATGTTAGAACAGGCATAGGACTGCAGGCACCAAATATTTAAAGGTGTTATGATACCGTTGAGGGACATGTGATGAAATGTTCTTATTTATAATGGTTAGACCAGAGTAGTTATGTTAACAGGAAATATTTCTGTAAGCAGTACAAAGTAGTGGATCTTGGTTTCCAGTGAGTAGTTCTTGTAAATCTGATTTACTGCTTAGTTGAATTACACTAAGTCTGCAGTGTGAGCTCTGCTCTTAGAGTACGCTGAAAATGCACGAGTGGGGAGTGGATTATCTGATATCAGGCTATAACAGAGGTCTCACTGCAGCCTTTTTATCAATGAAGGGACACTCTGCTCATGGACTTCCTCCCAAATTACTGTTCCGATTGCGCATGGGGGAGTGTAATATTTTGAAGACAACTACCTTCTGTCAAAGTTGACCAAAATTGACCAATGAAGTAAAAAATAATGTACCTGCTGGAGATACAGACATGATGTAGAAAATTTTATACAATCAGATTAAAAGTAGGTCATTGTAGCTACTCCACTAACCAATTTAATTACAGTCATTAAACTTTGTTTCCTGTTTTATATGTGTCTCACTCCCCTTCAGGTAAATCTTTTCTTTTCCTGGACGTGGGCTATTTCCTTTCTGCTTCTTTCTTTAATCTCCAGGATATCCTCCTCTGTAAAGAAGATTGTCACCCCCACACTAGTACTTATGCCAGCGAGAGGCAGGAACCACCTTCAGAGATCAGCAGGCACAGCCCAAGAGTGTGAGGAGGGACTGATGACATGTGTTGTCTCCTCTGTGCCACGTCCTTAGTGTAGCTGCACTGATGTCATGGCAGCTCTGCAGTTCTTGTGCAAGTTAATGCCATCAGCCTTAGTCCAGTGCTGTTATGTTGTTATGTAAGAGGTAACGATGCATCATCTGAAAAGCTTTTGACCCGCAGCAGGTCATTTGTGCCTGACGAATGTATCATGCTGTTTTCGCATAGCAGATATTTACAGGCGTACATAATAGGATAGGAAATGCTGGAGGAACAAGGTTGTGCTCCAAAGAATTCTGTGATCAGGAAGGATTAGATCAGGTGTTTACAGAAGTTCTTCCTATTTTGAAACATTGAGAAACCAGCTAAGGTACGTTACCAGCTTTCTTTGCCACTGGAAGTGGGAGCTCTGCACCTTTCTGAGGGATGGACTGTGTTTTCTAAGAACACCTCTGGAAGGACCATGGAGGGGAGAAGTACCTTTCTCCCCGTTTTGCAGAGGAGAAGGCAAGTAAAAAAGTTTCAGCACATTTGCCTTATGTAATAACCCAGGTCAAAAGATCCCCTTCACCTCTGGGAAGAGAAGGGGTTAAATGCATGTCTCAGGGTTGGGAGCTGATGCAAGGAAGGGGGAGCTGTGAGACCTTGCTCCAGGTATTGAGAAAAGGGGTGACAGGGAGTAGACAGAGGAGCGGGCTGTGCAGCTACATCCCTCCAGCTGACTTGTGGTCTCTGTTCAGGATTTTCACATTCTGCCTAGGAGATCCCAATGGGAATAAAGATGCATGTCTTGGGCACATTTGACACAAGAGAATCAACCCATTGGGAACACAGCCTTCCCCTGCGCTGTGCCACTGAGCTGTTGTGACTTCTGGGCAAACACACTCATTTAAGCAGTGCTAGTGGTGCTGGGGAAACTCTAAACTGCCTTAGTCCTCCTCCAGTGAATATCTGACTGGGCACCCTGCTGGGAATTAGCACTTGGCAAAGTCCCATGCTGTGCCTGTCTGCTGTAGGATGCCCCATATCCTCCTCCCTGCTGGTTATTGCAAAATAAGGGCTCAATTCCCAATTACCTTCTCTTCCAGGCTCTCTGTACATGCCTGCTGTTGGCCTGGTCATTGTTTTCCTGGCATGCCTCTTTGTGCCTCTGAAGTCTTGAATGGGAGCTTGTTCTGGCCTTTGGGAAGGACAGGCAAGATCCCCTTGTTTGGTCCTTGATCTTTTCCTTCTTTGTGTGAGGAAGAGCATTTGGTTTGGTCACACTTTTTAGCTTGCATTGCCCACATGGCACAATCTTCTCACTTAATCTCCTTTTTGTAGCAGTTGCCAAACTGAACAGCTATGACTGATGTTACTGTGTGTGCTTAGAAAAGGAAACATTGACTCAGTCGGATTGTTATTCTTGCTTTTCTTTGTTGGTACCCAAGCTCAGCAAGTTGCCCGGAAGTGTGGTAGTTCGTATGTTCACTCAGTAGAATCAAGGTAGGAGTCTTGGGTATGTAATGTTGTTGATTTAGGGTAAAAAATTGTGTTTGACACCACAGAAGGTCATCTGACCTTCTCTCCCTGAAGCTACCTAGTTGTGGTGGCCAAGGCCCTTCACCGGACAGCACATGGCCCATGTGACACTTGAGTCATAACATAACAACTGTCATCAAAATATGGAAATGGAAACTAGCAGGTAACGAAAGACAAGTATTCAGAGAAACACACTGGTAAGCCTAGTTTCAGCCTTCTCTTTATCGTGTTTCTGTCTCTGTGGCTTTGTTAAGGTTTGCTTTGCTTCAAATGGAAGAGAATAGATCACATCAGGATCATTTCGTAACAATACCGTGATACATAGGGAAGGATGGTCCATTTGATTAATTCAGACACCTACATCAGCCATGCCAGTTTAGTTCTTTTGGGAGTGAAAGAAAGGAAAGAGAAAGGAGATGTAGTAATTTCACCTAGTCACATTAGATTTCAAAAATTTGTAAGATTTTAATTAAAACTTAATTTCATCGTGGTTAATCTTGAATTATAACAAAAGCACTGAAGCATAACAGCAAATTTTCTAAAGATTCAGTACTTTGGGTGTTGTGCTTGCTTGAAAATTTGGCTGTACCACTGCAGACGGAATTCTGAACAACCTTTGAACAGGATGCTTAGTAAGTTCCCTATGCGGTTTCTGTGTGGCCTTTTTTTTTCTGAATGATTGTTCCCAGATTAGTGCTTGAAAGTTTGGATCCCCAGACATGGTTATTTTAGTAAAGCATTTTAGGCTTTTAATTAATTTTACTTACAGAAAGATTATCTATGAGTGCTAGGTATAACTCATCGTTGTCCTAAGCAAGGGAGGTGGTGCAAGGTATGTTTATCCGACCAGGGATGTTGTAACAGAGCTTAAAATAAAGTGGTGTCCTCTTACATGTGTTGGGAACAGTGGGTTCTGAGAACGGGATGAGAGGTGTTTCTCATGCTAAAACCAGGCTCCAGTACTACATCTTTTAGTAGCTCTTATGCATTAAAAGTACTTTACAGTGCCAGAGAATCAAGAATGCATCATTTTTTGATTCCTTGGTCCCTGCCTACTCTATGTCTTGAAAGTCTCCCTGAAATGGAAAAGTTGTCATATCTTTTTACTCTGCAGCCTGTAGGGAAGATCTAGCAGAGGGCTTCGAGAGGGAAAATCACATGTCATTGGAACCTCCATCAGGGTCACAAGATGGATTGCATGAAATGCCAGCCTGAGCTGGGCTGTACAACTGACTGTGTTGTATCTACAGTAAGAGAAAATTGCTCTCTGAGGTTTGCTCAGTAGTTTTGAAAGATATAACTGAAGAAATAACTGAAATGGAAAGTGAAATCTAGAAGGAAATAAAAAAGGAGATTCCTGGAAAAGAGTTGACCTTGGAATTCATCACTAAACAGGATCTAAAATGCCAAAGCACCTCTCTGATGCTCATTTGAGCTGATAAAAACTTTCATTTAATTTTTGATTTTTACAGTTGCAGGTGTTACAGAGAAAAATAATCAGCGTCAACCCAATGGTCATCAAGGATATGAACTCTGCTGTTTTTATCTAGATGGATGAAAAGGTTAACAGCCCAGAAGGGGAGTTCCTTTTGTTTTCGAGATGGCAGCAACTAGTGGTGAAAGCCAACTGCAGCGGATTATCAGAGACTTGCAAGGTACAGTGCCATGCTGGCAGAGGCATTCTGTGGGCTGGACTGCATCCTCTGTGTTTTAGATAACACAGAGTAGAAGTTGTGTTTTCAGTTGTTACTCTTTCATGCAGCCATTATAGCAACATAATTCAAGGTGTGTGATGTGACTGACTTTTTTTGTGAAACAAGTGCTGTACCTTCTGCAGGACCCTAAATTCCTAAATCCTGCAAATTTAAACATACGAGATAAGAAATATTTTTCATGCAAGATAAGAAATAATTTTTAAATATAATTTTAAAAAAGGTGTCTGTGGAGTGTGCATTGGGGGCTAGGACTTTGTTGGCATGCCTAGAGCTATGCTGTTACAAGACTTCGTATGAGATAAGAAGGCCTGATTTTTAGACCCTTCCTTGATGGGAAGCTGGTGTGGAGTTGCTGCTAATGTGGGAAGGGAAAAAATCCAGGAGGCCAAACCAAACTAGGAAGGGAGATCCAGAGGAAGAGTGCTGGCGAATTGAACCTGCTGTTCTTGCTGCAGTGGAACCTAACTTATCCTCCACTAGAAGTAGCCAACCTAATTTTCAACAGTTCTGTTGCAGGCAGAATTGGCAGCAGATTCTTAACAGTTTGCCTGCTCTCTGTCCAAATCAGCTGCTTATACAAAGATCCAGATATTTTTCCTTTAAATTTTTATTAAATATAAAGTATATGCACCAAAACTGGGAACCTTAATCTTCCCACAATATAAAAAAATGAGATCTATGTACCTGCTAACAAGAAGAGATTTTAATTTGCAAAGGCGATCGAGTCGGACTGGGAGCTGAGACTCACTCAGTCACCTGAATTAAGTACAAAACCCAAGTGGAAAGCAAATTCAAAATCAGTAATTTCTGATGCTGAGAAGTACACCTGTTGGGGGTTAGGGTGTCCAGGAGGACAACAGAGTTTGTTTTGACTTGAGTTTTCCTCACCCACTACGGCTGTACATTTGAGGGAAGAGAAGTTGCTGTATGCTTTTTTTATGTAAATTATTTTCCCCGTTTGTGTTTGTAACCAGCACAAGCTGAACCTTCCTGAATAAAGCATGGAGAAGATAAATGTGCTGACCGAATGACTGTTCTCGTGTTACTGATCCCCTTTAGCAGATTACATGCTTTGTCCTTTCTAATCAGAATTCTGTTTGTTCTGTGGCAATACCTTAATGTGCACATGAAACAGCAAAAAGTTATTTCTCTTTCCTCTGCTGACGTAGCAGTTAGCAATTTTCTGTTACCAGTTTTTGCTATGTGTCAGAAGTGCTAAGTGTCCTTTTAAGAAGAAGAAATAGTCCACACAGCAGGCTGACATAGCTTGAGCTCTAGTTTTCTTACAGGTGGTCTTAAATTGCAAGCATATCAGTAATTTTTTTGCCCTGTCATTAAGACATTTCAACTAAAAGAAACTGAATACACATGCAAAATATCCATGAGGAAACCGTTTATTTAGTTGTTTATGGATTCAGTGCTATATATCATTTGCATTAGTTAACTATTTTGGTGTCTTGTTTCACAGATGCTGTGACTGAGTTAAGTAAAGAATTTAAAGAAGGAGGGGAACCGATCACAGATGACAGTGGCAACTTGCAAAAATTCTCCTACAAGCTTGAGTACCTTCTACAGGTAGAAAATGATGTGTGTCATTTGTAATCCACCAACGAAGCTCAGCCTTGTTTTCTCTTACTGCCTGTTCAATATGTGGGGTTTAACTCAAATAATCATAAATGTCCAACTGAGTCTCTTTTTATTTTTTTTTTTGTGTGTGTCTGGTAAGTGGACTGAAATGCATGCTGCTTATTGTACTTATTTCAAGTGAAAATAAATGTAATCAAAAGGAAGAGCTGGCAGTTTGATTGAAAAATGTAAGGCATTTCTTCATGAATCTGGAAGATCTGAGCTTGATTTTAGAGATATATCCTGCTAAGTTATCCTGGAAAAACTGTGGTAATGAGTTCTTGACAACATTTTGATGCAAAATAAATACTAGTGAGCTGTTCATGGTGCAAATATAGTAGTGTGAGTAATTTACAGAATTTTTGGCAATTTCACTTCGGAAATTCTTTTTTATTGTATGGAAGGCTTAATGCAAAATGCTGATTTTTAATCTGGAATGCTATTTTTTTTCCCCATCCTCAAAATTTAAGTAAAAGAGAACATTGCTGGGCAAACTGAAATTCAGCTTGCATAGTGTCTTGTCCACATATACTGTAATCGTGTCACTGATTGCAACAAAGACATGCTAATCTAGCTTTAATCTAGGCAAGGGAGTTTTAATTGGGTTGCAGAGGCTTCAGCAGAAGCTGAAGAATCCTTCGGGGTTTGAGTGGCCCAAGCTGCAACTGGTTGTTAGTTCATTGCTCTTGAACAGCTGCCGAATCTGTTGTAAATCTTTGTTTCGGCAGTTTTGAAAGGATGTCTGTATTTTAAAGAGACTCAAAACATTTTTATCTGTTACTGTCTGTAAAGTAGCTTTTGTAACTGCTGGATTGCATCAGCACAATGCAATGTCTCCTTCCTTTGTGAATACACTGTCTAAAGCTAAGAGGAGTCATGAAAGCTCATATTACTGGGAGAGGAACAGAATTCCAAGTAGCTATATATAAATATATTTATAGTTAAGTTTTGCTCATTGCATTCTGTTTTCCTCATTTAAGTTTGACCAGAAAGAAAAAAGCACATTGCTGGGCAACAGAAAAGACTACTGGGATTATTTCTGTGACTGTCTGGCAAAAATCAAAGGAGCTAATGATGGAATCCGCTTTGTCAAGTCTATTACAGAAGTAAGTATATCAGCTAAGTATTGTAATATGTGGTTTATGCTTTGGTAGGTCTTTTTAGAGAGCATTAGAAACAAACCAAAAAACTCCACTGCTTTTAACATATAGCAAAAAAATAGGGGATTTTTATTTGTTAATTCTCATGTAAAGTATAAAAATGCAAGGTTACCTTTTTTACTAGAGCATTAAATTATGTAGGATTAGATAGCTTGACTCGAAGACCACTTAAAACAAGTGAATGGACCTGTTTAGTTGTGCCTTGCCTTTTCATAAACTTAGTGCCATTTTCTCTTAAAAGAAGTGAAAAATTAAGTCAAGGGCAGAGCCTGCCGTCTTTAGCACAGCTTACAGCAGGCTCTAAGAATAAGATGAAAGGTTCACCGTATTTGACATTTCTTAAGACCTTTTCAACTGGTCTGTAGAGTTGAGGAGGACTGACTGAGAGCAGCAATTTCATCTTCTGTCTCAGCTTTGTTCCTCTGTGTGAAATAGCATGATGAAATGACTTGGAATGGTTGTCTGTATTACCTGGGTTAAGCTGTTATGAACAGCACAAAAAGCCTTGTTTCTGTTATATACAGTAATAAAAGCTTAATCTTGTAAAAGCCATGTTATGTCTTCAGCTCAATAAGTGGGTGGAATAAATACTGTGAGAAGCTTTCTGTGTTGATCCTGTCTGAGTCCTTAGAACCGTCTGAAGATTTTCCTTGTGGGTAGAAGAGGCGGTGGTGTGGTGGTGCCAGCCAGCATTGTCGTGATGCTCGGTGCCATTATCTGTGAGCAGGGTTAACTTGTATTGGCAAGTTACTATTTACAGCACTTTTCCCTATTAGCAACTCTTCCACAGCAGCTCTAGATAATATTGTTTTGATCCATCTGAAAAAGAACCATGATACTGTAGCAGAGGCAGACCCTGAGTTCTCTGCCTTGCCTTCTTCTCCCTGCAACTTCAACAGTATTAAATTTTGCTGTTCCAAGGTGAACAATCCAAGGAAGGGCTCCAGTTTGTTTTACCACTGGGAAGGAAAAGAGGGGAGAGACATGGAAATTTGATTTGAATTTCCCATTACTTCCAGGAAGACTGGCAAAGTAAGGACAGTAACTGCTGCAGCAGGAAAGATCCTCTGACTATAGATAGTGACCCCTAAATTCTCAGTAGCAGTAACCAATCTGACTTCTCTGCAAAGGTGATTGTGCTGTAGTCTTTAACAGTCTGTTGCCTGTGGTATCACCTGCATATTACCACACGTAAAGACTTTGCTTTTTCCTCCTTCAGTACCTCTGGCTGCTTGATTGTTAGCACAGTATCAGAAGTTATTGTTTGGAAGTAGGATACTTTCTATTTCAAATTATGTGCAACTATAGAATTTAGCTTGTGGGAAACTTCTTTTAACTTTATTAACTTGCGCTTGAGGAATATGAACACTTAAAAAAGAATCAATCAGCCATTTCAGATAACTGAGCTGGCAGACTTGGGTCCATGACACAAAAATATGTTTGTTATTTCCCTTAATTACAGGTAGAAATCATCAGCCAATCTTTGAACCTGGCTGGATAGAACACAAAGGTTTCCAAATGTCATTTATTTGCTCATGGAACAAGACTTTGACTTTCAAAGGTGGAAGTGAACAGAAAGGAAAAAGCAATGGCAGTTAATTTTAAGAATGATCAAACATTTAACAGCATAATGCCTCCCCTTCTGCTCTGCCTTTAGTACTTCTAATATTAGGGTGCATGATAGGCTAGAGAGGTGGAGCAAGGAGCCAAATGGAATACCCTGGAAACTGTTATCTGTTAATTACAGAGGGCTTTATTCTTTATGGCAGTAGGTGAGCAGGGAGTTCTGATCATTCTCCTTTTCCTTTCGAAAAGTGTTTACACTGAATACACATCTTTCCAAATCTTGACAGCCAGACATTGCACCTTAGCTACAGTGTTTGCTGTCTAAATGGAAACACTGCCAAAGCCAGATGCTGCCTGCCTCCCTGATTGCTAGTAGGGCTCTAGCAGGCGGTGGCATGGTTTTGCTTCCTAGCCAAATAGTCTTTGGCTATTTGTAGCTGCATATACATTTTCCTCTAGTCCTTATCATGTACATTTGTTCTGGTATCTCCATGCTCTAAAAAAACATTGCAATTTAAATTGATAAACCAATGGGAGTAAGGATAGGATTAATTCTGTGGCTTCCAGTGGGGTTTTTTTTGGACAGTTCTTAACGTATTCACTAAATGTGCCTAGTTAGGAAAAACACTTGTAAGCTTCTGTGCACAGGGTGGGCATAGCATCTCCCTGAAGAAATCTTCAGACATCTCCAGGGTGAATGAAGGTGAAAACCTGTTGGTAAATTAAACTTACTGTTTCTGGGGTACTTAGTGTTTGGGGACCATGTTTTTTGTATTTTGTGTCCTATAAAATTCAAAACAGAAAGCAGTAAAAACTGTTGCTTTCTTTGCTCCACATTTCATTTATGTTCCTTTTATAAAGAACATTTTTGTATGTAATGGGTTACTGAGCTAAATGAGGAACCTGTGTCTTACTTCAGAGCATAAGCCCAGTAACAGCAAAAACATGGAAGTTGAGAGTTTTAGGTATTGCTGTCACTTCACCACAGTGGAATATTGATCAGCAGTAGAGAAAGCTTGTGTGGCCTTTGAGCCTTCTTTTACACTAACTTTTCAAGCAAAGTTTACAGTAACCTACCAACTTGTGCCTCAACCCATCTAATATTTGTCTTGTCTCTATTTTAGATAATGAATTTATTTGCTTTGTTAGTTGGATGAGCAGTTTGGTGAGAAATTCTTTCATCACGTTCCATTTCCTTTCCTAAATTGATTACTGATTTTGATGGAAAGAAAAAGTGAAACACTACTATTCAGAGTTTCACTATTTTGCAGGACAGGAAATGGTTCAGATGTAAAAGACAAAACAAAATATCAATCCCTGAAGCCAATAGCTATAACAAAATTCAGTGCTGAGTTTTGTGATTCCGTTTATGTTGACTTAACAACTGTCTTCCTAAAGAGATCCATCAGTTACAGTCATGCAGCTGCTCTTGGTCTGAAGTAAGAATTAAGAATACTTAACGGCTAAGTATTAAGAAAGGCTTTTTGCATCATCTGGTGTTACTGTGTCCATGGGGATGTATATTTGTATATGTGTACATTTTTGTTCTGTGACTAGACCTTTCCTAAAGCTCTTCCAGCTGTGGCCATAAACATCTTAAGCATCGTTCAGCAGTCACTTCTGGCTTTGCTGGGCATATTGAGGTTTTGGCTTACATTGGGAATTGTCCTTAGCATAGTCTGTACTCAGGTACTCCATATATTGTATGATTCATTGGTCCTGTGATGCCTTTTTTAGTGTTATAAAGTGGACAACAGCCAGCTGTAGAAAGAAATTCATCCTTCAAAAAAGATTCCACCCAATGACAGGCTTGGGAGAAGGTGTCTCTCAGTGGCAGTTCTTCCTGCTTTCCTTGACAGCTTTTTCCTTTACAGTGGCTTACTGTGAGGTTTTTTTTATGGTGCTGTGTAGACTGTTCTGGCCATGTTTCTACATGATTACAAAGGATATTTAGAATTTTCTTTTCTTGTGGTTTCTCCCTTCCAGCTAAGAACATCTCTTGGAAAAGGAAGAGCATTTCTTCGTTACTCCCTGGTTCACCAAAGACTAGCAGACACCTTGCAGCAATGTTTTATGAACACCAAGGTGACCAGGTGAATAGCAAAGTACCTTGTTAACTAATGGGTGTTTGCTCAGTGTGATCTAGCAACATCACCTAGTAGCTATTGAAAGAAGTTGAATCCCTTCCAAATGGGTGACTTAGAGAGCTGGTAATAGGATATGAAGGATAATAGACCTTCTGGCCTAGGTCACTGGTTCATATCTATCTTGGGCTTGTAAAGATTGGAAGTTATTATAGCTAAATGTGTGTGGAATGGGTGGTACTGGTGCTTCCGTGTGTCGATCTCAAAGGTCATGTTTTCATAAGTATGGAAGATCCTGTGTTTGATCAGCTGCACATCATGAGGGAGGATTAATTTGGATATGTTGCACAAAGCCCTAGAAAGCATTTCCATATGCCTCTGGATTGTCATACAGAGGAACAACTTGCTCCTGGCCAGGGAACACCAAAGGTAACTTGTAGTTGTTTGGAGGGACACTGCTAGGGCATTTAGAATAAGCCAACTATTTTCACAGTGTATTTAGCTCTGGATGCTGCTTTCTGTCCCTCATTTTTGATGTACTAAGTGAGTGCTTTAGGTATTTACTGTGTGATTTTCCCATGTATAGCAAATATATTTTATTGTCAGTGATTTGCCCAAGCACTAGAGGAAAAAGTCTTCTGTGCAGGGGCTCCTCTGAAGATATTTAAGTGGAATTAATTAAAGTTGTATAATTTTTTTTACATCAAAGGGATGGGATGTAGTTTGGTGGGTCTAGTTGCTTTCAGTTTGTGTTTAGAATAGTGTATCCTAATTTTTCTGGGGTGGAGTAAATAATGATGTTGTTGAGGTTTTTTGCAAGAGAAACTACTTCTTCTCTTTTGCTTATGAATAAGTATTAATTGTTTTTTGTTTTGTTTGTTTTCAAGTGACTGGTACTATGCAAGAAGTCCATTTCTGAATTCCAAAATGAGTTCTGACATTGTGGGTCAGCTCTATGAGCTCACTGATGTTCAGTTTGACTTGGCATCAAGAGGCTATGATTTAGATGCTGCTTGGCCAGCATTTGCCAGGTAAGATAGAACCACTTTGTCATTTTGTATTAACAGGGCCATAAACCACTTGCCTGTTAAAGAACCTGTAAAAGTTTATGCTTTTGAAGGTACGAATACTTGTGTTAGAGCAGGTATATACTTTTCCATGTAATTATTCTATGAACAAATTGGCCTGTTTTTCCTTCTAGTATACTATGTCCCAGCAATCAGAGCTGATGCTCCGTAATACAGTACTTTCAGTAACAGCACTTTAGGCCCAAATCCCAAGCTATTCTCATCTATACAGGCACAAGAAGAAATGTCCTTGGGTTCTGTTTTAAGAACTGAGACATACAGTGGGTGGACAGGCTAGCAGCAATGATGATCCCAGTAGACTTGGGGAATAACAAAAACTACTAGGTCTGGTCCAGATCCGTTTGTATCAATGAGAATTTTCTAGGGCCACTTGCTGCCACCACCTGGTTGAGCTGCTGCCACACAGCAATACAATTCCTTAGAGTAAGACTGCACTGGTTCTTGTGGATGTGGGAAGTCATGGCTACCAGCCCCATAATCTTTTATAGGTGCCTTCGATATCCCTATTTTATTTTTCATCAACTTCAGTGGTTGTTGGCCAAGGCAGCAGGTGCAGTTATGTCTTTTTGCATGTGGTAGATACCAGTAGATAAATCTTACGTATACGAGTGGAAAGACATGTATATATGTGCTCAGAGTTACATATTGTTTCTCTGTGTGATCAACAGAAGGACACTGTCCTCGCTTGGATCTTCAGCATATTTATGGAAGCCTCCAAGTCGCAGTTCCAGCATGAGCAGTTTAGTGAGCAACTATTTGCAGGTGAGCAGATTGCAAATAAGTATTTATGTGGCATGGTAGATCTTTAGTTGGCATAGTTCCAGAGAACTTGGTGGTTTTACCATGGTTGTGACTCTTATAATGCTAAACTGCGAAAAAGGGTTCTTAATTAAAAGTAAAGGGAATTGTCTGGTAGCTGAATCAACTGAATGTGCAAATATTGTAAAGGAAAAAAATATATTCAGAAGACTGCCTGAAGATAGGTATGCTTTCATCTATCTTTTGGGAAAACAAGTCCCATTTCCTGTAAGTAGATATCTTGTAGTGCTGTGAACACAACGTAAAATGTCACTGTGTGTTAAGAATCTGAACTTGCATTTATGTACATGTCTAATACTACTTAAACGTTCTGGTTTTTCCCCTCTGTTCATTTAGGCCCAAGAGTTTCCCTCCAGCCCTGATGTAAATAGCTCACTAAATGCTGAACACCTTGAGGGCTATGAAGAGATGCGTTTAGAACTTGACCAGGCTGAACTGAGGCAGAGGGAACTTCAAGATCGTATTCACCAGCTAGAAATGGAAAACCAGGAGCTCCAGGCAGCTGTCAGCCTTCAAAAAGAGCAAGTACAGGTAGAAAAGGAGAAGAGCAATAACTACAGTGAGGAGAACTCCCGACTGACAAAGATGATCACAGAGTTACAGAAGCAGTGTGAGGTCTCACACTCCACTCAGAGCACTGTCCATGACCTGCAGAAGTGCCTACAGTCATTGGAATTAAATGCAGTGGAGCAGCAGAAAGAATATTCAACAAAAGTGGAGCAGCTGTTGACCAGCAAGGAAGACTATGCCTCAAAATTGCAGGTTTCAAATCAGGAGCTGGAGACCTCGAGGGCTTTGATTGCTGTGAATAATCTTTGCATCGATGAGCTCAAAGCCAAGCTGAGTTCTGCAGAACAGAAGAATCTTAGCCTCCTTGCGAAAGTTGATGCTGCCTTGGATGAAAAGGGGCAGCAAGCCACAGCCCAGTGTGACTCTGCCCTACAAATACATGCACTGTTAGAGAAGCTTCAGGAGATGGAAAAGGAAAAGGCAGATATGCAAAGACTCAATGATGAACGTGCGTCTCAGCTGAAAGCAGCAAAGGAGGAGCTGCGGCTGAAAGAACAGGCACAGAAGGAACTGGAATCCAGATACAATCGCCTCACTGCTGACTCCAGAGAAGAAAGTGAAAAGCTGATTGGGAGCCTGGAAACTATGACAAAGGAAAAGGATGCACTTCAGGAGGCCCTGACTCTGAAAGGAAAGGAGATGGCTGAGCTCCAGACCCAGGTAATGGGGTCGCTGGCTCAGGTGGGGTCACTGGAAAAAAGTCTTGAGGAAGCCAGGAAAGAAAAAGAGAAACTTGAGGAGGAATATGGTAGGAGGGAAGGAGCACTGAAGCAGGAATCCCAGTCACAAGCAGAGCAACTTGCACTACAGGAGGGTCACTTAACAAAGGTGAGTCAGACTGTGTGTAGCCTTGAGGAGCAAAACCGCAAACTCATGTCTGAGAAAGAGCATCTTGGGCAGAAAGTCAAGGAGCTGGAGGAGCAGATGGAGCAGCAAAACTCTGCAGTGACCGAATTGGATGAGGAGAGCAGGAAGCTGAAAGCAGAGAATGTGAATTTGCAGCAGTCCAAGAACAAGATGGAAGCGAAGCTGAAAAATCTGGAAGCTTCTAAAGCTTCCCTGGAAGCTGAGGTAGCCAGGCTGAGAGCCTCTGAGAAGCAACTTCAGAGTGAGATAGATGATGCCCTGGTGTCAGTTGATGAAAAAGAAAGAAAGCTCCGGGGCGAGAACAAACAGCTGGATGAAGACTTGCAGAATGCTAGGAGGCAAAGCCAAATTCTGGAGGAGAGGTTGGAGGCTTTGCACTCAGAATATGAAGAACTAAGGCAAAGAGAGGAGACCACCAAGGAGTCTTATGCCTCACTTGAAGGACAGCTAAAGAGTGCCAAACAGCATAGTTTAGAAATGGAAAAAAGCTTGGGCACCTTGAAGGAAAGCAAAGAGTGTCTCCAGTCACAGGTCACAGAGAAGGAAGTAGAACTGCAAGGCTTGGAGAGCCAGTGTGAGCAGCTGAGAGCAGAAGCTGAAAGACACAGAAAGAAAGCAGAGACTCTTGAGGCAGAAAAGCTCAGTGTTGAAAAGACATGCCTTCATCAGACAAAGCTTATAGAATCCCTCACATCAGAAAAAGAATCAGTGGAAAAACAGCAACTACAGCAGGCAGCTTCCCTGGAGAAGGAGGCAAAAGAGCTGGCCTTCAGACTGACCATGAGTGAAGAGCAGTTGGAGGTCAACCGAGGTGAAGTGTCAAGGCTGCAAGCAGAAGTCCTCGACCTGCGAGTCAAGCTTCAGCAGACCACTGATGAGAGAGAGAGGATGAGAGGTGAGCTGGCAGTCACTGTGACTGCCTTGAGTGAGCAGAAGGTGCTTGTTCAGCAGCTGAAAGAGCAGAGTGAGTGTCTCAACAGAAACCATGTGCAAGAACTGCTACAATGTAAAGAAAGGGAAGAAGTGCTGAAAAAAGAGCAGGAGACAATAGCCCGTCAAAAAGCTGAGCTGGAAAATAATTTGCTGAACTTGAAGGAAGAGCTATCCAAGGTTAAGCAGTACTTGGAAAATGCTAGAATGGAAAACGAAGAAAACAAAGATCTCCTCCACAGGACCAACACAGATATGGCTGAACTTGGTATTCAGATTTGTGGCTTGTCCTCTGAAAAGATGGATGCAGAAGAGCAGTTAGCCCAGGCCAGAGAAAGGCTCAAAGAACTGGAAGAACAGGCGGCAGAGCAACAGAAGAAGCTGAAGCTTGACATCTCTAATCTCAAAGAGGAGAACAAGAGCTTGCAAGAGAAATTAGAGGAGGCTCAAATATGTGCCGCAGCTGTCCCAAATCTGCAATTGCAGCTGGAGACAGTAAAGAAACAGGCACAGAGTTTCCAAGAGACCAGCCAAGAAGAGCTGTCTGCAATAAAATTTCAAATGAGCACAGAGATTCTAAATTATCAGACAAAATTCAAGGTAAATTAATGTAATTACTATAGCTGAGGGAGCCGCTTTACCATCTGCTGCAACAATTACTGCATGAAATCCTAAGTTTTGTGTAGGTCAGGCTCTGAGACTAGCATGCAACTAACCTTAGCCTGGGAATCTGAAAATGTCTCTACACTCATGATCTAGTCCTATCTGAGATAAAATCACTCTTCAGAATGTTATGGACTTGTACAGTGTGGCTGTCCAAGCCCAGTGGAGAAGCCATCCACTCCTTGAGAGGGTGATGATTTCTTATGCTGGCACTGAAGGTGGCATCTGCTGTAACTATTCCCTCTGGTTACAGCTGTAGTTGTTCTCTTTTTTGGTAGGAACATTGCAAGACCTGTTCCCCACACCTCTAACACTGCTTATCCTTAGAACTGACTCTGATGAAAGCAGACTTAAACTGAAACCATATACTTTCGCAGTTAATTCTCTTATGTATTTTTGCTTTCAGCTGCTCAAGGTAGCAGCTGAGAAGATCAAAGTTTGGCTTCCAGAAAAACCTGAATCAGCCCTGTATATGTGAAACAGCACACCTAAAGGCTGAAGATTTTATTGTGGATTTTTTGCCATTCTGAGATAACGTCTAAGACTGGTGGTTGATCAGAAGCTTATGCCATTGCATGAGTTTGACCTTTTTGTTCAGAATTGTAATAACCTATGGAAAGTAGCAGTAAAACACAGCTAGTGCCACCACAGAGGGAGTTTCCTTGATTCCAAGAGTTGAATGTCTTTTTAGCTGTCTTTCATAAGCCTGACAGTGGTGCTGCATTTATCACACGCATGGCACTAAGAGCACTCATGATTCACAACTGGGAATTTTGTAAATGAAGGGGTGGCCGCTAGAAGGTTTCTAACTCCTGGCTCAATCTCTCTGCTAGGCAGTCAGTGAGGAGTGTGGGAAAGTGAGAGAGCAACTTGAAGAGCAGAAGCGCCAACAGCATGCTGCGGAGGAAGAGATTAACGAGTTACAGGTAGGTGCTTGATCTGATTTAAAACCAGAGGCGTTTGTGTCAGCAGGCATTAGTGTTATAGCTGAGAAGGCAAGCAGCATTTTGATGACTGGCTGTGAGTCTGAGAATGCCCTTGAATAAATACACCACGCTGCAGACAAAATACTCAGCAGCTGACAGCCACCAAAGCAGAGATTATGAAAGGCACAGCTTCACTTAGGATTTGTTCTCTTTTGAAAGCTAGCCAGGTTTTCTGTAAGACCTGGCTATGTGTTCTCTTCTTGAATGGAAGTGCAGGTTCAAAATGTGTCTTTCTTAGGCCCTGCATGCCCTAGGCCCTCCCACTGTTCCTTCTGTTTTCAGGCTTCAAAGGGCACTGAATCAGAGAGTTAATCTGTCTGAGAAATAACCCAGCCAGAAAAAAAATAGAATTTTTGCAATAAATTTATTGAACAGTTGAGTTAGGAGGGTCATACTGAGTTGTAAGGAATCCAGAAACAAGGAAGTTAAGGTTACTGAATGTGGCCCTGCCTGTTAACAGAAATACACATACCTTTAGATGCAGTTGGATATGTTCCCTGAGGACTCCAAGTTTGGCATACTTGGCATACTCTGGAGAGGCTAGCTGTGAAAGGAGTTGGTTTTGTTGTCCATTGTTCTTCATATTCCATATGGCTTTAATAAACAACATTTTTCTCCTACTTAATTTTTTACTTTTGAATTTTTTAGGTGGTGAAAAAGCTTTCAGGGTATATTCTTTTGCCATTATCTTTGAGAGATTTTCCTTGATAAAGAGGCAAAAGCTCAACTGACATGAAGTAATAAGAATTACAGGCTTAATGCTCTCTTAGTTTAGAGTTTATCCCTTATTCAGTGTGACAGAAGTAATCAGTCACTAGTACACAACTAATTACTGCCTGCTTATACAATAATATCTTAATTGGTTGTGTGGCTGTAACTGATTCTTCTGAAACATTCTTAACTGTCCTAGTAATTGTCCTATGCGTGGTAAAGTGTTATTTTTATGTGTAAGGAAATACAGTCATTTATTTTACTAGGCTGCAAACACGAGTTTGTCCAGAAAGCTGGATGAAGCAAGAGAGCAGCTGTCTGAATCAGAATCTGCTCGGCTGCAGAGGGAAGAGGAGGTGACATCTCTTAGAGAACTCTTGGAAAGGTGAGAGTTTAGGTTCTTTACACGAGCTGTTAATTGTAAGCTCAGCAAGGGAACAATAACCAAAATGTAGCGAAAATCGCTGGGGTTTATGAAGTACCGTGTGCCACAGGGTTTATATAGGGCAAATGATGTGCCCTGATGAGGAATATCAGATTGACACTTCAGATAAGAAATAGATAAATTACACAGTACACATGAATGAGCGGTTTAGATTTTACTGTATTGTTAGCTGAGGACATAAATTCATTGTATGTCTTCCTTCATGAAACTTAAAGATGTTCTTATAACCTTCTTTTACCTTATAGGTTAAGCACAAAATTAAAACAATATTGGGGAGGGTTGTAAGGAATGAAAAATTTAAGGTTTTGGGCTGTTTGTTTTTTCTCTCATCTCCATGAGCTTCAGGAAATCAGCAAGAATTATTTGAATGGGACCACATACTGCTTCTCTTTACCAGGTTTCTTATCAGCTTTAATTATCTAACTCAGGCTGTGTTTTCAAGGTCTGTAATGTGGGCCTGTGTGGTGTGGATAATCTGGAAATCAGAAATAGAACTCTGAGGCGTGGACTCACACAGAGTCTAATGGGTTAACCAAAGCCTATGTATTTTTATGGTTTTTGCTGATATCATCTGTTTTATTCCCAGTGTGGTAGCCATCATAAGCTTTACTATAAGCAGGCTATCCAAGAAATTGCTGGTTGCTGACTATGTTCACTAGATGGTGGACTATGTGCATTTTCAGTGATGCAGAAAAGTGGAGAGATTCTGTCTATCTCTAAAAAATTAGCAAAATTGAGAACAATTTCACTGAAACTACCTGTTTATCAGAGTGGAGTAGCCCGTTCTTCCATGGGGAAGACTTAAATGCACATGAGCTAAAAATGATTCTTAATTGCCTTTATATTTGATCAGGATCCAAAAAGAAGCTGATGAAGCAAAAGAGAAGATCCTGGATTACACTGAGAAGCTCAGCAAGGTGGCAGCAGACAAAGATAGCAGTGACCAGAAATTATTTGCTGAACTGGATGACCTGACAAGAACAAAACACTTCCTTGAAGAGCGTTTGATAGAACTTATCAGGTTGGCATCAAAACAAACAGCAAGCAGAAATTAAAATCCTAGCTTAGGATATTGAGGGATACTGCCTAGGTGGTCCAGTCTTGTATTCCTGAATTAAAGGTACAAGTAATAGCCAAATTCATCAGCAGCTGAAATTTTGCATTTCCATAATACAGTAAAAAAATGTAACACCGAATGTTATCTCCTTAATTTGCTGCCTGTTTTGCAAAAATATGTAGTTCTCCACATGGCATGTGTTCTTCTCCTTGTCTTCCCAGAAGCTTCAGGAGGTTTTTATATCTATCTTTATTTCTGAAAGCTCCTCAGAAATTTAGAGCAAAGGAATTTTTACTGTGAAGCTTTCACCAGTATTCCATTTGAGGTTAGTTAACAGTAAACCAGCACTGATAACTTCTGTGTGTTTTTCTTTCCTTTAACTGTGTCTCTGCAGAGATAAGGATGCTTTGTGGCAAAAGTCCGATGCTCTGGAGTTCCAGCAGAAGCTTAGTGCAGAGCAGAGGTGGCAGGGGGACACAGAAGTTAATCACTGTCTGGACTGCCAGAGAGTGTTCTCATGGATGGTGCGCCGACACCACTGCAGGTCAGTTTGTTGAACTGTATTGCACTGTTCAAAAGCAAAATTCAGTATGATCATCTACATGGATGAAAGATTTCTTAATGTTTGCAGTTCAATGATCAAAATCATTGATATATGACATTATAGAGGCTGAAAGAACACACGAGCTTAGAAGGGAGTAAGAGACGTTAATGGAAAGGTCCCTTAACATGTATTAAGGCAAAGATCTGGATGCAACTCTGATCTGGGGAGTCTGTTAGTATCTCATTTCTGGAAATAAAGATGATCACACCCTACCTGGTGTGTTTCTTTGAAGGACTGTGCACTTCTCTCTTCATGCTCTAAACAATATTCACTAGGATGATTTTGGTATTGTGATGTAAGTATTCCAGAACAAATTCCAACCTGCTGTGCAAATGTAAATTTTTTTACTTACACTAGATATGTTGAGAGATAATTACCAATTGCAGAGTAATCTTTTTTTTAAAAGTTGATATTAAATTATTTCCCCTACAGTTAGTATTATTTATCCGATCTAGATTTATTAAAATATTTTTAAGTGGATACATTTCAGGGTCCCAGTGATATGTTTGGTTTGACTCTTCACTGTTCCTTATTCTCATGACCTGATTTGTCATGTAAGGAAAGAAATACTGGGACTGTTTCACCTGCATATAAATGTAAACAGCTTTCCATGGGGATTAGTGAATAATGAAGTCATTTTAGGTAAAAACTTCCAAATTACTCATTTCTACTAAAGTCTGTGAAAGGTATTTGTGTTGATGATTTAAATGGTTATGAAAAACAAAACCATTAAAACTTCATGAGTAGCAGTCATCCCTGCTGGGTGCTTTTCTTCATGAAAATCTTTAAATGCTCATTAAAAAAGAGTTGACAGTTTAATACTGAGAGACTTCTGAGTGAAGAGGGCAGGAGGGATGAATGTACATGTATGAGTCCAATACTGTTTTTTCTTTCTTGTCTGAAGGGGAGAGGGGTCATTATGAAGCAGAGACATATAGATGTGTTCTAACAGTCCTTACAATCAAATAGAGTTTTGCTGTACCTTAGTATGAGATTTGGGCTGTGCAATATTATTAAGCACATTTCCTTTCTATATACTTAGTATAAATATTATTTATTTGTATTGCATATTTGTGTGCATTTGGTTGTTTTATGTCTTTATATTTAAATGCAATTTTATTTCTTTTTTAGTACTTTTAGTTTTTTCTGTTTTCTCTGTTTATTAAGGTAGCAAAATGTGAATGTGAATTTCTGCCCTGTGCTTGTCAAGAAGACTTGTTTCACTTCAGAAAGGAGCACAGTCTGTATAATGAGTTCTGCCACGGACGTAGTTTTCACTCTTTTGCAGAAAACAAGACTGTTATGACAAAGCCCCAAACTCTGTCACGTAGATATGTTCCAGCTGTATGTGGTGCTTTTCTAACATCTTTGGTTTTGAATCATTTCTAGAATGTGTGGTCGCATTTTCTGCTACTACTGCTGCAACAACTACATGGTGACAAAACCTGGTGGAAAAAAGGAGCGTTGCTGCAGAGCTTGCTTTAATAAGCCTAGAGTCATCGTGGACAGTACAGATGACTCTGGATCCAGTGCCAACCAGGAAGGATCACCAGCTTCATTGGAATCGCCCGTGTCACCATCTGAGAGGACTTTTGGTTAGTTTATTGTTTGCATGCTGTGGAGAAATAAGTAGGGTTCTTTGACAGTCTCCAAGAAACCACACGGTCACCTCCTGCTCCAAGGACCTGCAGTAGGTCATGGAGTGTTTTCAGGGTGTGACTGATCCCGTCTTTGAATTTGATTGGTATTGACTGAAACATGTATGTATATTAAATGAGTGTCAGTCAGCCTAAGGTTTTATACTAGTTCTGGTAGTTACTTAATGCTTCTGTAAAGGTAAAGGAATGGCCCAGTCTTCCCCCTTAAGGGCTTTGCTTGTTTATTTTCCAGACAACCAGCTAATATTGTTTATGTTTATTTTCATGTCCTTTTATGGCACAGTTGCAAGTGAAGCCTCTAAACCACCAGATGATGCAGCATTTGATATAATCACTGATGAGGAGCTGTGCCAAGTACAGGAAACAGACTCTCTCCACAATGAAAGTCAGATGGAAAGAGTGTCTCTGGATCAAAGCATGACAGATTTGTGAGTAAACACCGGTTCATTGAGAGGAGACTCTTTTGGGTTTGCTTTAGAATGTTCTTTTTTTTTCCCATTGAGAACCTCTGCATAAAGAGAAGACACCACTGTTCCGAGGCCACATGTTCATTAGACCAACACTACATAATTTTGACCTATTTGAATAGTCAGCATCAAATCTAGTAAATATAAACAGCTCCATCCTCTCCCTCCACCTGTTTCTCCACAGCACTGGGGAGTAGTCCCAGCTCTGTGCTGTCATCAGGCCAGCTGTCACCTTTAAAGCAGCATTCAGGCCACGCTGGATCACTGGTCATGCACACGACTTGTAATAAGAGCTAAGTGATACTGTCAGACTCACCACTGCGTAGTATCAACAGAACAAGGAGGTGGGGAAAAGTTAAGGAAAGCTGTGCTCTTTTTATGACAGGCTTCATTGAACTAGATGTGAAAGAACCTGTCTGTGTCCATAGGATTCCTTTTTACCTTAAGATGACAGCTCACAGAAAAGAAAAAAGAACAATCGTGTAGCTAAATCTGGCACAAGTTTGTTATTTCTTTCTTAAGAAAGGGAGAGTGAATGTTGGTTTCAGTAATTTTTTTTTACATCTATTTCTACACTGAATTAGCAATGAAGAGGATCTCATCTGAATATCTAAATACTTAGTTTGCAAATTATGTTGTAGTATTATAGTGTAATATATATCAAGGTTTATACAAAATGTTGATTTACTATTGTTCAAATATTTCAAGTATTTTACAAAACTTCTGTAAAATATATTTTGAGAAGAAAAAAGAAAGACAAATTTCATCTAAATGATGCACTTGCTTTGCTTCTGAGCAGAAAAATAAACTTGATAAATCAAAATGCTAAACTGAAAATAGCCACAGAGTAACCACTCTGTTGCTGAGAAAGCAGTTCTAGACTCTTTTGCCTTCAGGAGACACATTTCTGATATAAACCACAGTGACTTGCAGTTTGTTTATTTGGTAAAAAAAACTTTTCAAGATTCTATGTTTTTGTTTCTTGGTAAATAACTTGTCTGTATTCTGCCTATTTTGTATACTGTTGACACTGACAGTATATTTCTGCTTGTGATGTGCTGAGCATACATGAATGAACTGAGCTCCACAATGCTCTTATGAATTGTTTTGCAAAGGGGCAGTTTGTGGTGGTGGGTTTTTGTATGTTTGTTTGTTTTATAAAGAAAAAAGTGTAATGTACTACTAATTTGAATTTGTGCTGTCTGCAGAGTGTATATCACAGGTGAATTAGCTCTGGAGGAAACAACCAGAAGAAATAGGTGTGGGTCACCATTTGTTTCAGTTTGGGATTGACTAGCTTCATCTTGTCCCACAAAGTATTCAAGCTAGAAGGAAGGATTGCCACTAACAATGGAATACTATTCTTGAAGAGTGCCCACGCAACAACCTACTTGCACCATGTAAACTTTTGCAGGTTGTCCATCTCCCCTTGTTCACATATTGTAGGTAGGCGGGAGAGCCAGGAAATAGTGTTTTGTCTCTGCTGCTCTTGGTTATCAGTTTCCTGAGCAGGTGGGAGAGTCTACTATGGTCATACTTGGAGCGAGAACGGCCTTCTTACATTGCAGATGACTTGATCATCTCGTGTTGATTGTGTGGTTTTGTGTTATGGGAGAGATCTAGAAACTGATAAATGAGTCAAGGGGTGGTGTGGTGCCGGTGGTCCGTGTTGAGGGGAAAAAAGTGTTGATTGTGACAGCACAGTTTTCTCACTTGTTTCTGTGGCGAGGAGTGTACGTGTACCTGAAGCTTGAGTGTCGCTTAGCACATGAGCAGATAATGCAGCACAAGATGCTTTGGGGGCTTGAGAGTAAATGTGCCAGAGGCACTATACTGAGAACAAGCAAAGATTCTGCTAACCCTCTGTTCTGTCTTTGACAGCAGCCCATGGCAGATGTACTGAAAATTTCCCACATTTCAAGGATCTGCAGTTCAGTTACTTTCTGATTTCTTTGCTGCAGATTTCTTGGCTGTACTGGACTGAACACCCTGAACCTCATATAGACCTCTAGTCCTTTTATTGTTTTTTGAAAGTGTCCAGCTAAATGTGGCCTCATGGAAACTTTCGATAGTCTCCACTGGCATTCCAATAATGTTCTCTTTGCATGAAATTGAATACTTTGAGCAGAATTTACTTTGATACTGTGCCTGGGGAAGACACGAAGGATCCAATATTGTGCTTGCTAGATGCAGGTCTGAGGAATACATACAAATAAGTAAGTTTTCAGGCCAGACTTCTTTGTTGAGATCTCCTGAAAATAATCGAGTCTAGTTGGGTTTTGCCAGAGATGTGAACTAATTGGTGTGGCTCTATAAATGAGGGAGATAAGCAGCCAAGAGAGGGAAGAGAAGAGAAGCTTGGTGTCCAAATAGAAGATCTGCGATAGACATGCTCTGTTGACATAGTTTCTTATGACCTTACTCTGACTGACTGGCAGTCACACTGACCATATCTATTCTAGGTGTGAGTCCTTTCTGGATTGGCAATGCGAGTTTCTGCTCAAAGAAGTGAATTATGTTAAAGGACATTCCTGTTTCTATTTGTCATCCTTTTGGCGCCTACTGTACTGTTACTCTATTTTTCACTTGTTTTCTTCACCTAGCCTGCCACTGTAGTTCTTTCCTTGAAGTGACATGAAGCAACAAAATACAACAAAAATATTTCATAACAGCAAATTTTGAGAGTCTGCCTTTACTGGTATAGGTCAGTTGAGAATCAATTAAAACTCAACTTGGTCATGAACTGCACAGATGTGTGATAAGATAGTTGATGTACCAGCATAACTCTGGCTAACCTTGAAGCAACCTTTCCTACAGGTTAGGATTAAGCAGCAGTTGCTTCATTCTTTCGAGTCTGTTATGTGTGTTTGGAGCAACCTGATAAAAATCTTAATGTGAGAAGCTAAGTTGTGTAATTGTGGTAGATCCCGCTACTTCAAGGCTCATCGGTTTTCTTTTGAAGTGTTGTATTTTTAAACTCTTTTATTTCTAAAGCATTCACATTTGCAGATTGTGTTCTAAAACAGAGGTCAGGACAGTGTATAGCACTGGATCAAAGTCCTCAGGGTAAACCAGTGCACTGTGTTTCCAGTTTTACATATCATAGACATTACATGCCTGCTATACATGTTGCAGCAGCAGAACCAAGATCATAGACAGCAGAATAATAAAAAAAAAACCAAACAAAAAAACCCCACCAACAAGAAAAACCAAGAAAAATAACCCCTTGCCACCACCCTGGTACAGAAACAAAGAGTTTATTCACACGTTGGCAGTGGTATGAAGAACATTTCAGCCTATCTGCACTGTGGTTGCTTTGGTTTGCATTCTTTTTTTTCTTAAAAAGGACTCATAACACTCTTTGCTAACCTAATTACTACTAACATGGCCAAGTGCCAGTGTAGCCAAAAGGGGGAACTGAATGTGGCAAAGCATTCACTGTGCAGAACCAGCCAGGAAGGAGTGGGGGCAGAACCTCTTGCCATCCTCTTGCTGGCAAAGCCTGCCTTGCTGTCTATGGGGATAGCAGTTTTACTTGCCACACACATGTAAAAGCACAACATCTTCCTTCCTAGTTTTACTTTAAGGATATTTCACTGTGGGAGGAATGAGAGATTGTATAGTAAGGAAAGGATTGCCTAAGCAGCTGTTTTCTAAGGGGGAAAAGGGACATGGAAACAATAGGTCAGGTACCACTGAGCTGCAGTGCTCTGATAAGAAGGACTGAGAGTTAATGGGGATAAAAGGAACATCCAGAGTGAGTGTGATTATTTAAAAAATGGTTTGAAACAGTTTAAACTGGTATTTTAAAGCTGTAATGCAAAGGACTTTCAGCCTTTGGGCCAGACCCAACCCTGCCTTCATCACAGCTGCATAAAGCCTCCTTCTGCTCCTCTCCAACATCCCTTCTTTTTCCTATTCCAGTCTGTTCTCCAGCCTGTTCTCCTACTCTCTGCAAGAGCTTTTGCATACTTTCGGTCCCAATCTGCCCTCCTCCCTGCACACCTTTTTGCCTCCCACTGGGAAGTGAAAAGGCCAGAGGTGGAAAGGGAGGACTGGAGGAACAAGGTTGGAAAACAACTAAGGAATCCACAGTTTCATGGCAAGGGAACCGGGGTGCCAGGAGAAACAGACTGGAAAGATGTCACGGGGCAAAAAATGTGTGGGAATGGGGATGTGAGTGTTTGGATCTAGGGAAGCAGTGCTTAGTGTTGGAGACCACATGTGACATGATGTCCCTTGTGTTTACAAGGGGTCTGGTCAACTGGCACCATGAGCTCTGTTATCAGAAAAAAGATACAAAGATGTGTAGGGGATGTTTAGACCATGAACCTGATATTAGATGAAAGGCAGATGATACTGCTGCTTTATTACAGAAATTTTAGACAAATACTAAAGGATTATGTGTAGAGAACTCCCAAATGGGAAAAAAAACCCCACCCAAAAAAACCCAATCACACAGGAAACCCAGCATGAAGATTGAAATGTATATGTTTTTAATCCAGGAATTCTCATGAAATGAGAAATGAAAGGCTGAACTAAAATATGTAATATATTTGAAACAAAATTCATAAAAGCTTTTATTAACAAATACCATTCATGGAAAAACAGCATGCCAAAGGTTTAGGAGTCAGGAAATTCAAGTTAGCTTTATGTCATGAAGCGTGGGCTCTGCGTAGCTAATTCAGGTACCAGCTTTGGCTGGAAAAGCAGGAGACACTGAAGTATCATGATTAAGATAGGTTGGTCTAAAGTTGATCACAGTGTTTATTAATGGCATTGTATTTCCTCTTTCATTCAGGCTACCTATCTCAGCATTTACAAAAAAACAATGTGAATCAGAAACGGTGAAATAGTTGACAGATTTTCTAGGCAGTTTTTGTAGCTTTTGACATCTGCATTATTTGAAGCAGTAGGTTGAGAGTCTTCCTGTTCAGTGGTTTGCCACTGTTTAGCCATAACTTGTTGTTTGATACATCTTGAGATTTTAATAATTTCCTGTAAGTACCTTCTGATTTTCATCCCCATGAAGAAATGCAGAACAGGGTTAAGACAGCCATGGAAATAAGCAAGAGTTCCTGTTGTGATAATTGCATATTCAAAACTGCTATTCAAGTTAAAGCTCCATTCTGTGTTAATTATCAGTCTCAAGAAAGTATAGGGTAACTGAGAGGGTATAAACGGGACTATAGAAAATATTTTTTATAGATTTGTTCTTTTGAAGAATTCTGGCATGCAGTAAAGTTCTAATAATTAGTGAGTAGCCAATGAATATGGCTAGCATAGGAATACAATATGCAAGAGTCACTTGGATCATTCAAGAGCCAATTCTGTGCAATGGTTTGGCTATTCTTCCTGACATAATGCCTTATCAATATTAAACACCTCACTAAAAAGCATGGTGTGGCAAATGCTAGTGTGATCACTGAGATCAAGACACAGATTAATTTGCCCCATGTCATTTTTGTTTGGTTTGGCACATACGTGTTTCAGTGGCAAAAGTGATAGCAACAAGTCAGTCAAAGGTGATAGACATTAGAGTTAACATTGAAGTGTATACATGCCATGGTGCCTAAAGTCCACTCCTGAGTAACAGAATATCCCTAGAGTGGCAGCATCCAAAGGAAGACCTGTCAGCTATAGCCAAGTTCACCAAAAACATGTCTGTCAGCATCTTCAGTTTCACGTGGAAAACTAGTATGGCAAAGACAGTGCATTTTCTGCTAGGCCAAAGATGAAAACAACTGAATACATACAGAGCAGGAAGACTCTTGTAAATATGAAAATTCTCACTTCTGTTTTTACTGGGACCACTGATGGAGAAGTTATAATAGAAGTTAGCAGCCTCTGTAGTTGCCACGTTGCCTTCTTTTTAAAGGCAGCCTGTAAGGAGATACATTGAGATTTTTTTTACTCAGCAAATAATTAAATCCTAATGCATCCAGGAGACAGGAAAAATCCTAAGTGCTAACAGATAAGAGTTGTAATAAAGCATACATGACAGACAAAAGCAAATCTATTTATTTGCTTAAGAGGATTGGCTTGACAGTCAAGACCCAAACACAACAGCTGGTGGATTTGAATACATCATCTGTTACCAGATTTATACTGTTGGGGACTCAAAAGCATACTTAAAAGACAATTACAAAGAAGCTTCTGAAAATAGCGTAAGGATTAAGCTTTCAAATACATCAGTGCTTTAGTGTTTGAATTGAGGTCTTCTGGGGAAACCCATGAGAGAAACAGAATTCATTTTGCCAAATCTAGCCTCTAGGCTCAGGTTGCAGGCTCTGAGTGCCAGTCATTTGTGTTGGGTTGGACCTGTCCTGAAAGGCATGGTTTGAGTCTCAGCAAGTGAGCACCTGTGGTTCAGTTCAGCCTCATCTTGTTTTTTAGATGTTAGTCACATCATCAGATGGTGGCACTTCTTCCTTTCCCCTTCTCAAGTGACTTACTGGAAACATGGAGGATTTTCATTAATGTATTTCTAAAAGCCATCTTTACAAGTTGTTTACCTGGTAAATTAAATCTTTCATAAGACAGATTTTTAAAGATTTAGTCCAAAAGTTAAATGTCCTCTCTCTTGAGCTACAGCGAATGTTTCTGTGAGACTAATCCTACTACAAGATATTACTCAGCATAAGATTAGCAGAATTCACCTCTGAATCATTAACATTGGCTGAAAGGCCTTAACTGGTGTGTTGTAACGTACAGCAGTTTGAATGTCTCTTGATTCTGCAAGGGAGGGAAACAGTATTCAGAGAAAGCAGCCCATGCAGTTAGATCTTCGCAGCAGTCTGTGGTACCATTGCTGGAGTGCTTCTGGGACTCTGACTTGTAGAGCACTGTGCTTGTACCTCTGAGTACTTGAGTTTGGAACCTGTGAATGTGTATATAAAAAAAACCCAAACAACTCCAAATTTGACTTAATCCTGCAGCATCATTTACTAAAATAAGACTACTGACACAAAGCTCTGCGATGCCCTTTAAAATGGAGTTGTTCCTTGTGCTTCATTGCATGTGGTAGCAATTCTCTGCCTCTGAAAAAGAAACTTGAACAAGGTGCTAAATATTCACAAACTGCTCCTGTCAAATAGAGTAGAAATGAGTTGTGAAAACCACCTGCTTTTATCAGTTATTTTCAGATGCAGAACAGAGTATGAGGATGATACAGCAGTGGTTAAGCTATGTGGTAGCATCTGTACCCTAAAGCAGTGTGAATGTCTGCCTTGAGAAAAGATAAAGTTCCCACTGTGCTGCAGAGGGCCAGTGATTGGCCCTTTCTAACAACGAGGCCCATTTAAACTCCTTAAAACCAGAAAATGTCACTTGTGAAGTGTCTTAATCATGCATTTATGGAGAGCTCATCTAAGCTACTCTGGTCACCCTAGTTCACAGTGACCTCAAGTCACCAGAGATGCTTCTTTCTCAGACTGTATGGGCAGGGATGGCCTTCCCATGGAGATTACTACTCTTCCTCCCAACATCCATTTGCCCTTATCCATACACAATAAATCTTGGGATCAATTCTCTAACTTTTAATAAACTCTTTACCAAAGATGACTGCAGTATCAGCAGTATTCAACCCTTAGTCCTGCATTCGGGATCAAAAGAAACTCATACATACTTAATTTCTGCTTGCTAACCTACCTGTAATTTGATCTGTTTCCTCCTTTGTTTCATAATCTGTGTTTCCATATAATAGCTTTTTGATGGACTGCTCAAAGAAGCCCTCTCTGGCATAGAAATGGTAAAAACAGAGGTGGGCTGTGTGAGTTCACCTCAGGTAGTGGGCTGAGAGATTAGCTGTTACTTCTGTACAGGTCAGTCTGAAAACATTTAATTGTATAGCTGTGAAGCTCCCTGTGTGCAGAAACCACATCGGCTGCAGGGAACCTGCAGGCTCTGGGATGGAGCAGCCTCTGTGGAGGTACAAGCTGGGCATAGAGGGCTAGGGAGCAGCTCTGCTGAAAGGGCCTGGGATCCTGGTGGATAGTGATGTAAACCCATGCCAGAAACAGCCTTTGCTATACCTCTCCTATAATTCTGCCTCAGCTTCCTTGTAATAGCCTCTAAAGAACTGTGCAAAGAAAAAATTCAAAGTATCTAAGCTAGTGTTACCCACAGAGGTGGCTGTAGCCTTGGTGATCTACAGACTGTGCAGTATTTGGGATATTTGGGCAGCAGCTTGCCAGTGTTTGTAGTGTTGATTCTCATAGTCATCTGTTTGCTGCCTCCTGCTGGGGAGGGGACTTGAAAGTACCGTGGTGATCCCTAATCACTTATTCTGTACCTCTTGCAAATGAGCATTTGAAAGCTGTCTGCATCTCAGAGCCTTTGCCAAACCTCTTCCCTATCACAATACTGAAAAAAGAACCATCATAAGATTTTGCATGTTGTCCCTTGAAGCATGGAAATATTCCTTTGTCGTGATTGTTTCCCTAGCTTGCTTCCTCTGTATTGCCTCTGGTCTTACAGATAGAGTGTAACCAATTTTAATACCAATTTTAAGGCAGGAGAATCCTTTTGTATTGTTTCTTCTTTTGTTGTTTTTTTTGTGGTTTGTTTGTTTTTTCATACAGGATATGGCGTAGTTAAATCATACAGAGTTTTTTTTTGAGAAATAGATGGGATTTCCTATGTACCAATAAGCAGGTCACCCACAGCACAGGGTGGTAGATCTTCATGTCCATCCATGGTTTTTTCCCATCAGTTATCTGTGTAATGCTTTCCCATCCCAACATATGTCAGGGTTCGCTCATAACCTTCCCATCCCTTTCCCATCCATACACCATGCAAGACACTGTCACGCACCCTGTTAAAAACAGTGAGCTCTGTATCCCCCATGCTCCACCTCAAATCAGCCTCTTTTCCTGCCCTTGTCAAGGGCAGTCTGTGGCATCCTTTCTTCCAATCCTTCACCATCTTCTTTATTTTTCTTGTTCTTTGTTGGGCTGGAGGGGAAGGCTAATAACTAAGTTAGGGTGCTTGGGGTGGTTCTGACCTGCTAGATAACAGCAGGCCCAGGGAACCTATGGTGCACTTCAGCATAATGCCTTTGATTGTTTCTTTGCATTTTCAGATGTGTTTGCTGGGCTAAGCAGCTGTTAGGGGCTCTGTACAGCCTCCACTCTCCGTTTCAGGTTTCTGGCTTTCACAGAATTCGGTAAGATTCTCACCCTGGATGACTGAAGTTCTCTCCAGAAATCACTGCGCTGCTAACAGGCTTTTGGGATTTCACTGCTCAGCCATGTGAAGCCAACACCTCAGACATGTAGCTATAGCTGTCAGAGCTCAGGTGTTTATGAAAGCAGAAAATTGCCAAGTGCAGAGTTGAACCAGCTTCTTTCAGGATTTAATTCTGAAAGGGACTTCTAACTCCCAAAGCCATTTATGATGTTGACCACAGCATGTTTAGAATCATTTGTTAGAAATGCTTTCCATGTATAAGAACAGGCATACTGGTCAAGACCATCCACCTGAGGGACAGTGACCAACAGCAGGTGCCTGAGGAAGACCATAAGAACAGGACAGGCATGAAGTGATACTTCAAAGTGCTCCACCAGCCTGTGACAACCTGTGTCTTGAGGATTTGCTGAATCAGAGCTGTTCTCTTCCTCCTGTAGTGTCTTTTCCATGCTTCAGTTCTTCCTGCTTTTCATCCCCACTTCATTTCACTTAAAAAAAAAAAAAAAAGAGAAGAAAAAAGTGCAAACTGTTTAAATACATAGAGTAGAGGATACGTACTCATAAGCTGGGGACCTGGCAAGCTGGAGGAACATCTTAATGCTGCCACATAGGGTGAATAGGTCATGCAAGAATAAATTCTCTGGTCAGGGGGACAAGAGCTTCAGTTAAATCCCGAGACTGTTTCTTATATTTTCCACATAGGCTAGCAGACCTCAGTTTAGACCGTTGGACTGAATGGGATATCATTGGACTGAATGGGATATCATCAAGAGAAGGAGGATTTGCTTTGTGATTATAATGCACTTTGGTTTTAATACACAAAGTGAGAGACTTAGCATTTCCTTAGCCTATAGTGAGTAAATGTGTGGTGAATTTATTTATTGGAGCAGCCAAGTGGAAAGCTAACCACCTAACCATGTACTGGGTTGCAGCAGCAGGAATAAGGAAAATCACATGTTAGAGGAGAATATGGAAAATATATTGGTCCTGAGATTTAATTTACATTTCAGAGTTCCAGACAAAAGGTGAAATTAATGAATTAAATAATGAACTCTAATGGTATTTTGTAATAAATCATGGAGTTTGACACTTCTGGAAGCCTGTAGTCATGTAGTTCTCTTTGTCTACATTAATTCAAGGCTGTGAAATTAAAGCTGTGTAGCTATCATGGTGGGAAGGGAGACTTATACGGATCACAGCATGAAATCTGTTGCTGTTACCACTATGCAAACAAAATATACATATAGGTTTACAAGGTACAGTTTAGTTTTCTAGGTGTTGGTTTTTTTTTTTCCAGAATCAGTTTTCTTATCTAGTTGTATAAAGATAATTAACAATGAAATTATTTTTATCACTTGCTAAGTATTTTCATAGATGTTGCATTAACCTTTATGGGCCAGCTTGTAGTATGTCATTTCTACATTTCAACTGGGAGGTAGTGTTTGATTATAGCTCAAGTTCTGGCACTTAATTACAGCTGTGAGTGTTCTGTACGTATCCCAACTGTCTCTTTAGAGTATTAACAGTAGTGGCATGAATCTGAAGAAGTCAAAAGTTATCCAAGTGGCTACAGGAATAAGAAAACAGGAATAACAGAACATGAATTCTGCAGGTAACAGTGCTTTGACTTCAGGAAATATGTAGACAGTGAGTGCAGCTTTTTTTTTGCTGCATTCATTTGCTGCATATTGCAGTCATAAAAGTAAATTCTTCATGTTTCCAACCAATAATACCACTACACTAGACTTACACCTGGTTGCATGTGCTGCCACAGTATATTCTGATGCTGCTAGTGACAAGCTGAAGGAGTTGTTACCTGGAGATATTTTCTCCTGCTCTTGTGGAGAAATGTCCCACTGGATTTAAAAGGAAATGCTAAACTGTGCAGTGCTTTTGAGAATTGCTCTACAGCAAGTATGGCAATTATGCCCTTTTGGGGCGTAATTACACTTGGTGGTTCAGAAGTGCATATGGTATTACATTTTATTAGATTCCACTGGTTTTTGGAAGGAACTGACCAATTGGTTTCCTGTATATAAGAATCCTTGGCATTTTTTCTGGGAATGACATTCTTATTGTCTCAGTTATCAACCTGCTGAAATGCTGAGAAGCAAAACAAGAACTAGTTAGAGAAGCTCTAACTTACTTGGAAACTATCAGCATTTGTTTACTGACTCTCAAACTCATTCTACTCCCTGTGTCCAGCCCTGTAATTTCTAACTGATGCTACTCCATTGTTCACCCAGAGCATACACCCTTTTGGGGGTAAGGAGTGGATAGCAGGTTCGTCCATCCTCTTCCTCTGCTCTTCTGGACACATCATGGTGTGGAGGAGAGGTCCTGCTTTGTCATCTCATATTCCTTGTATGAAAAGAAGACACACGGTAGTGATTCTACAGTGATAAAATATGTTTTGTGTACAATTGTCAGAGTAAGGAACTGGATAATATGCTCAAACACCTCACAGATTAAATCCAGGGAAATGTCTTATCCCTTTGCCAGCTTTGATTAAGGGACAAGTGCAGACTGTTTTGCTTGTGTCTGGCCTCCATGAAGTTTCCACCTGCCAGGGAATCTTTAAAACCTGACAGCATCTCAGTATTATCTTATGATTGCAGAAGAGATGTTTTGGATGTACTTATGTATTCTTCTTAGCTCATGAAATCAGGATAGGAACAGTTTTATGTTTGTGCCCAGTGGTGATCAAATAGGGCTGCAGTTTTGCCCAGGCAGTTTTGTTGCTAGAATGTGCAAAATAAGAACCCTAGAATTTGGTATTAGAACTATCAAAGTGTTTCTATTTTAGGAAGGCATCAGCATGCAGATGGTATTTGACCACATACTACTAAGGTAATCATGATTTTCCTTTTTTCCCTTGTTCTAGAAACAGTACCTGTAATTCTTCAACCTTTGATGAATCTGAAGAGTGGCAACTTGCTCAAGATGCTGAGATATGCTTGTTGAAGTCAGGAGAAATCATGTAAGCAGAACAGTTTCGTTACCTCCAGGCTGAAAGAATAAAGGCTGAGATCAGATATCAGCTATGTGAGCAGAAGTCTTGCAGGCTCCCGGAAGAGCTGATCCCTTGTGTCCTGCAGTAGAATTTGATCTGAGGAGGATGAGAGAGTGTAACTCAACTACACAGAGCAGCAGCAATAAGCCAGGTCCTCCCTCTTCAGTCCTACAAAACTTTAGTGCAAGTGGGGAACGAGAAGGAAAGATGTAGGTCCACATCACACCAGAAAATCTTCCTTTCTATTCTTAGAAGGAGGTACTGTCAACAGGAAGGGGGCTTAGAGGGCTGTGCAGTTCTAGCAGTTGCTGAAAGAGACTGCAGGGACGAGTCGGGGAGTGCACTGCTAGTTGGACCTGTTTGCAGTCTGAAATAGATATCTGAATGAGGTCAGCTCATATAATGCTTTAGGACTTTAGCACCGAGATAATGCTTCATCTAGGTGCTAAGAACTTCCTTTTTAATTGGAAGTATTTTGAGGCAGCTTTTTTACAGCTTGTTTGGGTAAAATAGACCAAGATGTAGCATTAAGTTCTTCATAGGATCTAGAAGGATCTGCTGTTCACATTTCATCCATCCATCCCCTCTGTACTCCTGATCCCCATTTCCTGTACAAATGATACCGAGAAAGGTGAATAAATTAGGTAACTTATTTTTTGTTTAAATTTATGTTTAAAAAGAACAGTAGAGGGCAGCAGACTCCTTTTTTAATTGTAGTGACTCTAAAAGGCTTTATTGCAGGTTTTCTCTGGGTGAAATGAAATAAACAAGTGAACAAAATCCACATTTGCCAGAGCAGTGAAAGTTCTTAATATCAGTCAGCTTTTCTGTAGTTTTTGCCTTCCTCTAAGGCTGAATTTTCATGCATTTTGTGGACCTGTCCAAAATATGCTGTGGAGTCTTCCTCAAATAGATACAAAATAAAAAGCAGTGATTAGTGGGTTTGTCTGAGTAAGTCGATTGGATCTCTTCAAGTAATTGTATTTTTCTCACTCACAGGATCAAATTACCCCTTACAGTGGAAGAGATCGTAAACTTTGGAGAAAGCAACAAAGAGCTGTTCATTAAATCCAGCACCTACAGTATCATTCCCATCACTGTTACAGAGATGGGGCTAACAATTAGCTGGATCTTTTCATCAGACCCCAAAAGCATATCCTTCAGCGTTGTCTACCAAGAATCTGAAGACACACCGCTGGATCAGTGCAAAGTAAGACCTTTGTTTCCTTACTACCTTAGAGACTGTAGTACTCTACAGTTGGCTGCCTAAAGGAATCAGCAAGTATCACTAGGAGGTCTCACCAAAATGCCAGTTGCTATTGCATTAAGGATTTGTTTCTCCAGTTAAGCTGCAGTTCTGCTAAAGGCAGGGCTACATCTGTAGTTATTTAATGTCGCCTGCAAAAGTTCAGTTGAAAAGCACTGTAGCTTCTCCTGGTTGCATCTGAAATTCACCCACTATTATTAAACAAACCCAAAAGTTCCAAGCCTGCAAAATTCTTCTTTTTTTCCCCTTTTTCACACTTACTTAATTTCAAGCCCTTTCGGGAAAATTTGCCAGGTCTTGAGCAGAAGCCACAAAAAAACATAAATTGCTTGGGTTATCTACGTTTCTTACAATGAAGCATAAGCTTGATGGTGTTCAAAATTGCTTTGCTAGTGACCAAGGTACCAGTTTTTATATGTGCTGTCCATATTTCATGAGGATTATGGATTAAGTGAATCTATTTTACTCAAGTAATTGCAAATTTTTACTGAAGACAAGGCAGCTGTTGGTTTAATCCACCATGGTAGAGGGAACTCTACAGCTGTGATTTACTAGGGGAATAAGATATTTATATAGCATATGTTAATTCACTCCATGGTTACCAACTCCATGTAAAATATCTCTTAATCTGAAAGCCAAATGAAGTGTGAATGTTGCTTTTGTCTTGATACATTTATTTGATATAACTTCTGGGTTTTATGGGGTCATTCTTGATCTATGTCAGCTGCTCTTCTGACAACTGTGCTAGGGTTTTACAGCAAGACACAGAGAATCATAGATACACATGCTTTTGCTGTAAGCTCAGATAAACAATTAAGATTTGCTGAGAAAGCTTATTTTATAATACAGGGAGTATAAAAGCATATATTAAAAGACATTTAGGTAAATCTTGCTCTTCAATATATGGATTTAAGGCAGTGTTAGTAAAGTTGCTTAGATTAACATTTAAAAAAGATCAGGATTTGATTCTATCTCTAAAGCAGAGATTTATAGGTTATTGCTGTAAAGAGATTATCAGAGGAAAACAGGTATCTCACTGTGAGATTTTAGCTTGGGTGAGGTTTTAATGCTCATCAGTTAAAATAATTAGTTTTGCAGGCATATATGCACTTTGGGAGTTTCTAGATGGCTGAAGTCTAAATACTTTTCTGAAGGCAAATGTCAATTTATAGGGCAAATAGCAAGCTTCATTTTGATTTGTATTGAATTCCAGGTTCTTATCCCTATGACTCGCTGCAACTCTCATAAGGAAACCATCAGAGGACAGGTGAAAGTCAGAAACCCTGGAATCTACACACTGATATTTGATAACACATTCTCTAGGTAAGTCCTAGCTGGGTGTAAAAGGTGAAATAAGCTTAGTTTTAGAGACTGTGGAACTGATCAGATGTATCATTATTCTTCCATTCAGAAGTAAGTATGAGAAATTGGCCAAGAGATCTTCAAGGTTGAGTTTTGGTTCTTGTTCTTGTTTGGGTTTTTCTCTCCCCAGAACAGAATTCCACTCTTCTGTTTCCACCTCTGGGAAGGTAAACAGAAGTAAGCAAGACAGTTTGGTCAGGATTGTCATTTTATTAACAGGAAGCTTAACAGCCCTTGCACAGGCAGACTTTCTTTTGACAACAGTCAATTTTTTACTTACATATAAAGTGAAAGACTGAATACACTTTTAAGGCTTCTTGCCTAGTTGACTTCAGCTAACATGATCCTTTTGCTCTCTCTTCTTCCTTGACAGGTTTATCTCAAAAAGAGTGTTTTATCACTTGGCTGTTGAGCGACCCGTCATCTATGATGGAAGTGATTTTCCATAGCCTTGACTATACTGTGTTATTTTTAATTAAATTTTTAAGAAATTATATTATTTATGTACATGTAAGCAGACTGATTACCACTGTGTTTGAAGACTCTGAAACTATGCAATAGTTATAATGCACTTAAGAAGAGATGGATACACTAAAAAATGGAAGCCTTTTCAGGAACACTAATGGTTCTGTACTGTGTACAGATTGCTGAAAAGCCAATGTTTGATTTAACAGGTCAATAATAACCAATTTTTTTTTTTCAGTGGGGAGAAAAATAAGTGTGTGGGTGTCTAAATGCAAACTGAAATTCTCTGCTGAATTATCGCATTATTTTTTTTCCAAAAATATCCTTCAAAAGGAAATTTAAAGAAAAAAGTGTATTTTTGACCTCTTCACTGAGGAGTAAACATAACCATTTCTGTTCTGCTACTCTTACAGTCAGAACAACAATTATGCAATATTTCATTCTTCACAGGCCTATATTGTAATCCATCTAGAATTTTTTATCTTTTCCAAGTTTTATAAACAGCAAACATAGGAGTTTTTTAAATTCTGGGCTAAGATTTGGTAAGCCTTAGCTGGCTTTTACAAATGCTTTATCACTACCAGTTACGAAACAATACAACATGAAGCAGCAAATCCTTTCACTTTCGCTCACCGTACTCTGTACACTGGTCCATTCTTACAGTACCAGTGGCAGAACAAGGAGTATCCTCTGTAAAGTACTGCTCACTGTGTGATATTACGAGGAAGAAAATTCCTTTTTCCTGCCTTAGCACCTTAGTCATCAGCAGTCATAGGAAAGCACAGTTTCTGAGGACATGAGCAGTGTCTCTCTCTCTCTAGACCACGTGGAAGGCAGCAATAATGTTTGAACTGGTCTCAAAACGTCCATCCAAACTGAATGAATATCCAGGCCTGAGGAGCTCTCCACCCAGTGTTAGTGTATTCTCTCCCTTTCATAAACCTTGCAGTTGCCCTATCCAACTGCTAACTTTTCATCTTGGATCTGGAGAAAGAGCTGGCTGTAAACACTGCCTCTTAAGGGAAGACTGGGTTCTCATTTATACAGAATTTCTACACAAACCATCTGCTTTCTATATAGAATTTTATCCTTTTGTCAAAATATCTGAAAGCAGATTTTTTTGTTTTAAAATCCTGTCCTCTGATGTAATGGCAAAACATTTGGCAGGATAAAGGAGAAAAGCTCTTTCTCCCAACCAACCCTCCTCATCATTTTAGGTGTGTCTGATTTCTCATGTCATTGTTCTCCCAAGGAAACCTCAGACCTGGAAGGTTTTAGTGCAACAGTTGGTAGAAGACCAGCACAGCCTGTCAGGGACCTGTAGAGACCTGGTGGCAGCTGTAGCTGATATACAGGAGTCATTGTAAGAGACAGAAAGTAAAACATAAGGGGAAAGAAGAAAAAGAGGCAAGCACAAGCAAATGGTTTAGGGGAGGGTAAGGAGGCAAACTTGTAAATGTAAAAGCAAGGGCAGGGAATTGGAAGGACTTGACTAGGGAAGAAAGTCAGGGGAGTCCAGCTGGTGTTTATATGTCGCTGGTCCAATCCATTACCCACAAGGGATTTTCAACATCTAAAGACTGGTTGGTTGTTTAAAAGATGGTGATCACAAACAAGTCTTGGACATTTACACAGTAGCAGCTGAGGTAAGAGGGAAATTTATGATCATAGGAAAGAAAAGAATTGCAGATAAAGCTAAAGGTTGCTTATCATTTGTTCCAGTTCTTAACAATATATAAATGAAAAAGACTGTGAAAGAATAACAACTTTTCATGGAGCACCTGGATTTTAGGTGTCCAGTTAATGGATAGTGTTTCCCTCCCTTCAGCTGCCTTCTTGCCCATACCAGTGGTGTGCTCCCCAGCCTCTGCCAGGCAGAGGGGTCAGTGCAAAGTACAAGCAGATTTATTCCTCCTCCTGAGGGCTACAGTGCAATTAAACCTATACCTGGCTGTGTGCATGAAAATGAGATGGACAAAGATGGACATGGGCAATAAACAGGCCATAAATAGCACACAGATCAGTTCAGGAATTATGGCATATTTCAGTGTTGAAGCTATGTTTTATATTTAATTAGGCAAGAAGAGATTATTTATTGCTTAAAAATGGAGCACTGTGTACCATATGCTATGCAATTTCACTGAGCTGTTACTGAAGTCTGCTGCAGTTTTCCTTTAAGCTTTTAGGTGTGGTTTTTAAAAGCATTTTGCTGTTCTTAGGTAGAATACTAATCTTACTGGGATATCTTTCTTAAAATGCCAAATGTAAGGTAAAGGGACACTGTCAAGTAGCTTGGGCCAAAATATGACATCTCTATTCAAAAGTATTTGAAGTCTCTCTATTCAAAATTATTTGAAAAATATTGAAAAATTATCTTCATTTCCTCTCCACATCCAGTTCTTAACATTTTTTCATACTGTGGCAAATATTTTTAAGCCACTGTTTATGTGACTCCTAAAGTAATTGTCTCCATCTAGTAAGCTAGATGTTTCCCTGAAGGTCTTTCATGTTGACAGTCCTGAGACTGGCTAAAGCATATGTTTGGACGGAGGGGAATAAAACCACTGGATTGTTTTCATTTAGCATTTGAGTCTTTATGGTACCTTTTCTTCAGGTTTTCCTGCCCCTTGAGAGTAGTTTTATGGCTTTTTTTTTTCCTCTCTGAAAGAGGACTAAGAGTGGAAGCCAGAACCTGTAGTTTAAAGATCAAAAGGTTTGCTCCTAACCAAGGAGAGTATTTAAGGAGGAAAAGTTTCAAATGATGAAATACTCAGGATGCTAAGGTACAGGTACAGGTAAGGACAAGGGTGCAGCTGTTCAAAACCAGCTTGTCAACAACAAGAATCCCATCATACCAGCTAGAAGAGGCTGTGCAGAGAAGATAGTAAAGAACCTGACATTAGTACTGACCTTTTGTTTGAATGCCACTGGAGCTATGGAAACCCAATAAAGGACTTTGCACAAGTGCAGGTTTGTGCAAGAGATTATTTCATTCAAGCACCTTACACCTCCATTCATAAGGCACTTGTTTGTGTGAGCTGTGCCAGTGATGCTGAAAAGTCTGTTTATTTACAGGTGCCCAGGTGATTTGTTGAATTGGGCTTTTTATTACCTGCAGGAATGCAATTAGGAGAAAAGAAATATTTAAAATTGATCATAAAATTAATTGAAGGGGATGTCTCACTCATAGGACAAAGAGATTATATACTGTGTTCAGCATAAGCAATTGGGTGATTTTCCTGGGTGCTGGAAAGGGTTAGGGTTAGGAGGTATGGAGGGTAAGATTTTTGTTATACAGAGGTTTATGTGAAGAAAAGAATGTAGTTTCTTTAAGAAAACGACAGTGTTCCTTTACTCAATCTTACTCAATGTTTCTTAATGAAAAATGACAGAGATGTATTGCATGAGAATGTACCATGTTACAAAATAGCAAAGCTACAAAAGCCTGACTTTGCTCCTTCCTCAAAATTGAAATTGCACTATAGTTTTAATCATGCTCAATCACTGAGGTTGTAACTTGTTCAGAAGCATCTTTTGGTCTAAACTGCCAAAGAATTGCAAACCCTGTTCACATCAAACTTCTTGCTCCAGATATGGGAAAAATTATGTATACCAGTGTCTGTTACAGAGATGTAGACGGTTGTGTACTGGAATGTTTCTTGATGCTTTTTTTTCCCTTTTTTAACCTCAGGAATTAAAAAATAAAATTCTTTATCGTTGTGAATGTATGTCCCTTTCCGGCCTTGTCGAGATAGCTTTGTGTGGAAGATAAATCTGATGATTGTATGGTCTACTTCTAAGCGGGAAAAGCTTTTACAAAATAAGGAAAATAGAAAATAGATTGTCAACTATTTCACAAATAGTGGTGAAAGGCCACATCTGTACAGTACAACAGAGGAACAGTGGAGATCCTTAAGTGAGCCAGTCCTCAGAGGTAGAACCAGAGCAGCCTCAAGGACAGCAAGTAAAGTCACTGTTGCCCCTGACAGTGAGCCGTATGGTCCTTCAGCTTAGGGCTCCCATCTGGTTTTCCCCAGGTGATAGCTGGCTCTGTACGCCTGGGTTATGTGGCATGGCAGCGAGAGGCCAAGAAGTGCTGTGTGAGTCACAGTCACTCTTTGTGTGTCACCTCAGTGTTTGCATCTGTAATCCCAGCCCCAGGACACATGGTAAACACATGAGCTGCTGGGGCCATCCAGATGGGTCAGGGGGACAGCAGGCCACATCACCACCAGTCATTGCTTGTTTTGTCAGCTTTCCTCATAGGAGTTTGCTCCTGGGGTGGAGGCTGCAATGCAGCCTGTCCCCACACTCCAGCAGGAATATATGTGACATGAGTCTGTGTTTCAGTCTGTTTCAGACTGATCTGTGTTTGTGGAATCTTCCTTCTTCTTCCCATCTTCCTCAAGTTTTGTTTTTATTATTCGTTTATTAAATTAAAATATGAAATTCAAGGTTATCCTCATATTGTGCGATCCCTCATTTCAAAGCTACAATTACAAACAGAAGTCTCAGAGCATCTCGAGGAGCATCTCCAGAGGATGACACAAAGCAGCCTTTTATTTTCAATGCCTATGTGAAGAATTTAGATACTGCATGTGTCTTATGAATATTCCTGATTTTGCTTAAGTCTAGAGTTATCTTGCTCTGCAGAAACATCAGAGAGTGAAATTCATGCTGCTGCCTGATAGTGCACCTTGTCACTTTATCACTGCTGAAGTGATATAGTCCCAGTTCCACACTCAGAAGCTTCTCTCTAGGACAGGGTCGCCAGCAAAGCCTAATCTGGAGTACAAGGGATCTGCCAAGACTGAGTTTTACAAATACACAATACATGTGTGAGTGACCTTACCCTGCTGCACATCAGCTCTGCAGGGAAGGCTGTAGCTATTGAAAACCTTTGTGTACATTTCCAATAATCTATTTTTACCCATGTTGATTACCACCTCCCTTCCTTGGTGCTAGCGGCAAGGCTCTCCCAACCCAACTTCTGCCTTATATTTCTATTTTGCTGTGAGGAACGTGTGAAGCTGCCACAAGACAGCAGTACCCTCTGCATTAGTCCTTCAAGTGTCACGGGGATGCTTTGAAGCCCAAGTATAAGGTTTAAAAACATGGCCCAGGAGACTTGGAAAAATCAGGCAGCACTCGAAGGCACTGGGAACCACAGTATCTGTTCAGTTAAATAAAGGATAATTGATTCAGAACATACTTGAGTTTGCACATACTGAACTCAGATCAATGGCTGACTTTACCATCACTTGAGTGATGCTTGCAGCTTTAATTGCTGTACTTTCACACCCTTCCATCACTTCCCTGCTCTCTGGAAGAGGCACTGGTATAAAGCATTTCTGTTTCAGGCAGGAGCAGACATCAGGAAGGCAGGTTTGCCTGAGGAGAGTGAAAGTTTCTTATCGGCTCTCCCAGCTTCCTCTCCCTGTACCACAAGCAGCGTGGTGCTGTGCTACGTGACTGCCTGCACCTTGGTCTCTGGGTGACAACACTTAGGGCAGACAAAGTCAAGCTGCTCCTTTAAAGAAAAGCAACAGCAGAGGAGACTACAACCCAAAACTGGGAACATCTATGAAAAAATGGCCTCAAAAAGAGCAGAGGGGAATGAAGCCATGGAAGATCTTAGGCCTTTCCTGGGCCTTCCAGCAAGTGCTTAGTGACCATCCTGCTAGAGCTGTGGGTAAGGCATGAGCAGTGTCCCACAGGAGGCGTGAAGGGACAGGGGCGGGGGAGACAATACCCTTTGCCTTCATGGAAAACTCCCCTCCTGGGAAACCCCCAGGAGGGCTTGACCACAAGGAGCTATGCTGCTGGCAGATGGAGGCCCTCAGCAGATGGAAGAGGAGGTAATGACAGCAAACATTTCCATGACTGAGCCCCTGCTTTGTGGTGGCCAGCAACAAGGGACCCCACCAGTGATGAGGCTACAGCCAGAGGGCCTGTAGGTGGGCAGCTTCCCTGCAAATACATGAGGCACCAACAGCCTCGGAAGCCACCAGCAGCTGCTGGACTGCAGGCAGCTGTGGTGGAACAAGCCCAATGAGGGAAAACCCATCCCAGAGGGGCTGGGCCCTGGCAAAGTAGCAGGGAGCAGCCTGACTCAGAGCAGGATGTTCATGACCCAGGGATGACCCCATCACCCCAAACTGCTCCAATTTTGTTGTCGCTTCACCACCCTCAGCAGTTTCACCCGCTGATCAAGCATGAATATTTCCCATGGCATTTTGGAGAGTGAAGAAGCTTTTGTCTTCTCTGAGAAGGCCACAAAATTCAAGTTCCTGGGACTGGTGAGATGCTATGCAGGGAAGAGGAGCTTGAGGCCCCCAGACAGGACCAGAGGTTGGCAGCCCCTAAAGTTTGCACACTTGTTTGTTTGCATAACTCAGGGGCTCTTTTGGGGCCAGGAGGACCCTCTGGCTAGGAGCACCCTCAGCCATGGGAAGGGCTGCTATGGGAAAGCATCTGCCCCCAGTGTTCTCCCTCCTCCCCTGCCCTCAGAAACCTGCCTTCCCTCCCAAAACTCCACCCCACCCCTCGTCTCAGGAGCTTAAACCCACTGGTGCCTGCGGAGTTCTCAGCTGCCCCCCAAGGATTAGATATGTGAAGTAAACCCTGTTAGAAAAGCTTTCCTTTGGCCTTTTTGAGATGGGTAAATCCTGTCATTGGAAACAGGTCATGTGTATGGATCCAAACCTGGAAAGGACGTGTGGGCAAGAAACAACCAGTTCATCCTCTTGGGACATGTGACAGTGCCTTTGTTTAGCAGAATTTCAGCTTCTGTTTGCTGAATACAGATTGCAAAAACCCCCCAAACCCTTCTTGCACATACAGTAAAAAATATGTACATTTTTGACCATTTTTTTTCCCTAAGGAAAAGTTAAAAAAATATTTTAAAGTCCAATAAATTTATATAGAACTAGAAACCTATCTGCTTAGATGTACCCTGTCCACTAGAAAAGCAATGCCAAACGATGCAGAAAGCTTGTGTTTATCAACACTCTTTAATGATAAATGCACAATGAAACCACTTTTTACCTGGAAGAAATAATTAACCAGAAGGCAAACTAGGTTAAATGAGATTATTTAAAACAAAACCTCCTAAGCACTATGACTTGCAATAGAAGACTGGAAAGTGGAGGCTTGCAGTCAGGCAGGACAGGCAATGCCATGTCCCTGTGAGGGGATGAGCGAGGCGCAATGGACACATGATGTCCTGTGGCCTCAGGCACTGTTACGGCACCAACACCGGCACTCCAAAAGTCCTATAGAAGTTGTGGGGTGCATTACAGCACAGCATTTTGGGAACTGCTGCCTCTGCCAACCTGAAGTCTCATTCCAAATGTCGTTAAGTTTGACACTTAATAATGCTTTGTCTTACTGGCACCAGGCTAAATATATTTTGTCACTGTTAGCAAAGATACCAGCACATAACTGGCAGTCAGCTGAACCATGGGTTTGGTTTTTGTGTTCTGGTTTACTACAGTTTTGCACTATTCAGAAAATATCCCTGGGACAGACAGTGCAGTGTCTCTGATACCCTTGAATTTTTACTGTGAGGTGTGATTTGTTTCCAGTACCAAAGTAGGAGCTATAGCATTAATTGTACCAAATTTCACCTGACACCACACAGCTAAACTATAGGAGAAAGCCAGGTCAGATTCTGAACACAGACCAGTTTATGAACACAGACGACTGGCTTTTCTTTGCAATAAGAACCACATGAGCAGCCAGAGTTGCATTTGCCCCTGCACAGAGAGCAGCATTTGCCCCCTTCAACAAACCAGTGTTGGAGCTAAAGGCCGTTTTCCTTTACAGGGGAGGGGTTCTGGTGCAGGAGTCTGGCAGGGCACTGGAGTCTGGCCACCTGCATAGGAGACCCTGGCATCACAGCAAATAAAGGCTGAACTCCCTCCTGCTGCTTCCTATGAGGAGGAGGAGTGGTTCATCCTGCTTTATCTGCCTCTGTTGCTGCTGTAACTGGGTTTATCACCTCCCTGTAAGACTTGTTATTTCAGGCTGTGGTCGGAGCTGCAGATGGGCCAGCTATTTACAGTTGTCACAAAGATAGCTTTTGTCCTCTGTCAGTTCTGCTTATAGCAAGTATGGTTCCACTTTGCTGCTCTCTGCCAAAGGTTTCCTATCTTTTCAGCAAGCAAACCTCAGTTGGGTCCCACACATCAAGGACAGGGCCACCAACCCTTCCTGCTCCTCTGGGACAGTCTTTGGGGTACACAGGTGCTTTCCCAAGAGTCTCATGTTCCTCTGGAGAGGAGAGAGTGAGGACTAACTTACAAGAGGACTTTGCAAGGAGGGGACATAACAGAGGAGGTCAAGTGAGCGCTAAGGATCAGGGAGTTCCTCACCCGCTGCCTCCCCAGCATGGTAAAGGACCAGTTTGAGCTGTGCTCCTGGCTGTCGCAGGCAGAGGAGAACTGCTTTTGGACCCTGCTTCGGCAGCAGCCACTGCTTTGCACCATCCTGCCCAGCGCTATCCTGAAGCGCTCACCAGCAAAGACATAGAGGAAGGGGTTGAGGCAGCTGTGGAGGAAGGCGATGGTCTGGCTGACCTGCAGCCCGATGTCCAGCTGGTTGGCAGCCTGACAACTGTACACTGCCCCGGTGTAGGTGCTGATGGCTTTGACCAGCAAAACAATATTGTACGGGAACTGAGAGAGGAGGAAAGCCGTGATGATCATGGTGATGATCTTCACCGACTTCTGTTTTTGGGATCTTTTGGCTTGTAGGAGGGTCTTGATGATAAGAGCATAACAAATAACCATGACAAGGAGTGGGAAGAAGAATCCAATTGTGACTTTCAAGACCAGCATGGTAAGTCTGAAGATCCTGCTGACATTTGGTGGGTATGTGATTTTGCAAACTATTATGTCACCCACCTGCATGGTTTGGCTGTATATGATTTCTGGGATGCACATGCCCAGCGCTGTCAGCCAGACAGCCAAGCACATGAGGTTGCTGCGCAGGAGCCACCTTCGCTTAGAAGTTTTAGCTTTCATTGCCTGGACAATAGTGATGTACCTGTCAAAGCTGATGCAGGTCAGAAGCAAGCTGCAGCCATAGAAGTTGATCTTATACAGACTGTTGACGACTTTACACATGAAGTCCTTGAAGATCCAGCCATCAGAAGCAGCCTTGGCCCAGAACGGGAGGGTGAAAAGGAGCAGCAGGTCTGCGATGGCCAGGTGCAGCAGGTACCGATCCATCATACTTCTCCTGAAGTGGTATTTGCAATAGACAAGCACAACCAAAGCATTTCCTACTGTGCCCACAGTGAAGATAAGCCAGAAAAACACCGGCAGGAAGGCTTGAGAGAACTGCCTGACCTGCCTCTTGTCGCACATAAAGTCTGTGTTGTTCACTGGGTTTCCACACAGGAACAGCACTGCGCTGTCATTCCTGTAGTAATCCAGGCTGGTCTTGTCAGGGTGGGTGACCTGCAATACGACATCTGGTAAATTTGTGTTGAGAGGCTCAGTAAAACATGCATTTGTCCCTCTCCACCAGATGCATTTGAAGATGCCTAACATATTCAATTTAAATGGGAAAGTGCAAAGGCTGCCAGGGAAACAGTGCGTTTCAGACTGCTTGAAGTGTTCAGCACAGCAGAGACCTCTAAAAAAGACCCACTGAGTAACACACTCTTTACAAAAGAGTAGTTCACCACCTCCAGCCAACTTCAGTTATAAAAACAGCAGGTGGTGAAAGCATTTTCTCTGTCAGCTCATTCAAAACATGGTTGGATTGGCAGCTTCAAATACAATACAAAACGCAAAATGCCCAACTTGGAAAGAGGTGGGGAAGAAGGCTTCGTTTTACTGCTACAGTGGAATGGCACCACTGGCTTGAAAGAGGCAGAAAACTGATGGAGGAAAAGAGGGGGGAGAGGAAAACAGTGATGAACAGTAACATAGCTGTATACTCACTATGCTTGCAGCTGCCATCTTCAGCCAGATTGTTACTCAGTATTGAAGGAGGCTCCGTAGCCTGGAGAGGAAAGATCAGGGAAAACAACTGATTTGAAACAGCTCTGAAGTAGGACTGTGACTTTTTTCTTTCTTCCTCTTCTTCTTCTACCTTTAATAAAAACCTCAACTCTATGAAACAAGTCTGGCCGGAAGATGAACAAACCACACAGAAATTGATGTTACTGATTTGAATTATTTAGCTATTTCCATTTTACAGATTTACACTTATCCTACTTTAGGTCTTCAACTTCTCTATGGCACTGTGCTGATTAAGTCCTTTGATGTACTACAGTCACTGCAATCTCGTTTTTAACAAGCTGTAGACTGCCCAGCATACACATGTAATAAGGAAGTAATCTGAAAGCACCATATCTTCAAAAAGATTCAGGAGAAAAAATGAAATATGTCTCTTAAATATCTAGCAACCAATAAGGAAAAGCATCTGCCTTTAAGGTAGTTTGCAATCTTAAATATTTGCATCCTCTGCAGCAAATGATTAACCTCTGCCTGCAACTTCTCTTTCTCATCTGTGACCCTGAGATTACCTCAGTTGGTTAGAACATGGTGCTAATAATGCCAGGGTTTGGGATTTGACTGCTGTATCGGCCTTTCATTTAGGAGTTGGACTCGATGATCCATGTGTGTCCCTTCCAACTCAGACCACTCTGTGATTCTGAGTTTAGGCACAGCACTCATTGCCATTGGCTTGTGAAACCTATGCCCCAGTAAACAAGTAAATATTGGTTTTTTATGCTGCAGATTGTTTTTCTGGTCAGTCCGCCATCACAAAAGGTAGCTGAGTCTCACAGGCTTGATGCAAAACACATGCACCCAAGTATTATTCAACATGGTCTGCACTAGCCTGTCTGTGAAAGTGCCTGGGGATGAAGCCTGGGGCTACTGGGAACCCTCAAACAGCACAGACCTTCCCTCCAGAACCCTTCAAAAGCAGGTCATGTAACCAACCGAGAGGGCGCCTTGCAGAGCCAAACCTCTCGCCACAGCAGAAGCTGGACAGAGCCAAACCTTCTCCATGGAGAAATGGCCCATGTTCATGCTCTGGCTTCCCTCTGGCTGCTTGTTGCCTGTTGACTAAAAGCACCTGTGACTGTGGCTGGCACAGGTGGTCAGCGAGCTACTGATTTCTCCCCGTACCCATTTCTAACATGTTGTTGCAGCATCTGCTGAAGAGTGCAGAGCTGTGCAACCCCAGGTGGCTTTATAATGTCATTTTCTTTTAGCCGTCAGACCTACCCTAAATTGCAGTCACAAAGATGATTGTAACTGGGCCAGCTGAGTGGCAAAAAAAAGATGATTGTAATTCTGTTTCCTTTCCATGGAGGTTGAACGTGGGAAAGACAGATATGAATAGTGGAGAAGGCGGGGGACTCCCTTATGAGACAGGCTGAGAGTTGGGGCTGTTTGGCCTGGAGAAGAGAAGGTTGTGTGGAGACCTCACAGCAATGTTCCAGTATCTGAAGGGGACCTACAGGGAAGCCAGAGGTGGACTCCTCATCAGGAATGGTAGTGACAGAACAAGAAGAGTAATGTGTACAAATTAAAAGAGGGTAAATTTAGGCTAGAAGAATTTTTTTACTGTTAGGGTGGTGAGATACGGGAAGAGGTTGCCCAGGGAGGTTGTGGATGCCCCAACCCTGACAGTGTTCAAGGCCAGGTTGAAAAAGGCCATGAAACCTGGTCTAGTAGGAAGTGTCCCTGCCCATGGCAGGGGGAGGTGGGACTAGGCAATCTTCAAGGTTCCTTCCAACCCTTAACATTCTATGGGTGTGACCCACTGGCACAGTCGCTGGTGGGGGGGCAGGGGGGCAGCCTGGACTTGGTGCCCAGCAGCCACACCTCTGCATGTTTGCTCTTTAAACCTGTAATCAACCTTTGGGCTTTTTGTAGGCTGAGCTGGGTGTGTGCTCCTGGGACCCCAGGCTGATTAGACCTGTCACAGACTGTTTATTCTGTGGTTTGCAGGGTTTAGGTGGCTCAAACACAGATGGCAATCTTCTTTTTTTTTTTTTTCCCTTTTTTCCTGGTAAACTCTTTCAATAGCAAAAGGACAACATCGCATACCATCGTTTTTCTGCTCATGTGCATCATCTAGCACAGGGCAAATCAGAGGCTGCTCCCAGGCTGTGTCCTGCTGCAAAATGCTTTCACTGGAGGAAAAAAATATGCTGGAACAAGAACTGGGTCTCTCTGGGCAGCCGCCAGTGTACCCTGGGGAAGCTGCAACAGGAAGGAGGGTCTAGTCCTGCCCACTTCAGGCTGACCCACAGGCACAGCTTCCCATTGTTGCACACCAAGGCTGCAAGCAAGCAGGAGCCAGGGTAGCAGGAACTGCATCATGCCTCACAAAAACTGGTGCTTTGCAAGCAACAGCAAAATGGAGCAAAACAAAAGTACACCACTTTCAAGAGGAAAGGCCAGGCTATTCCTGCTGCAGAAAGTGGAGAGACCCAGGACGGGACTGCAGATAGTCATGAAAAGTTCCTGCTGGTGACAACCATCCAGAAGAGTGACAGGAAAGATTTTGAAGAGGAAGGCAGTGAGAAGTGGTTAATAAATACATGAATTTGCACATCTTATGTCTTCTTTCTGGTAAGCTGACATGCAAATTATTCTGATTTAAGTTCCTGTTTCTGCAGAAAGTCCAAGCATCACAATATTTTGCTTTAATGATATTATTCAGCTATGACTGATGCTCGTTCGACTCACACTTCAAGGAAACTTCCAAATTGCAGTTCAGGCTCAGTTCCAGTTAAGGAGAAAACAATGATTCTGGCTAGGTTTTAGGTTGGGCTCCACTGTTACTTGGCATTATGCTCCAGTGTCAACAGTGTGTCATCTTCTTCCAAAGGGAAGGAGCCCCACCTGCTCCATGCTCCACCACTAAGGTGTCTGCATATGCTTAATACTTAGTTGTCATCCTGAAACTCTTCCTGAAACAGGTGTAGGTTTGTATGCGATGATACCTCTGTATGACACTTGGCCTCTCTCACAGCCTGGGCCCTCCAGTAGGAAAACAGAAGTGAGGGAGTAGTCTCAGGTAAACTCCAGGGTACCTGCTAAGGAAAGCACAGGTGTGAAAGCACAGGCATAGTCTCTGGGCTCTGGCACAAGTTACTCTGGGCTGGCAAATGGCTGCCTGACAGGGGATCCATGGTAATTATTCCTAATTCAGGTTTGTTTGGCCCTTGGTGTAATGCAAGCTGATTCAGCACTGGGAGAGATACATTAACTTCAGTAGAGTAAAGGCATGCCCATGGGTAAAGCCTCTGATGCAAAGGATCTTCACATTCTTTGGTCTCTCCTTCATGAATCTGAGCCCTTGTGCTCAGGATTTAAGTGACTTTAATCAGACTTAATTTAATTCTCCCTCGAGGCAAAGTAATAAATTTATCCTATCCCACCACTTCACACAGCCTGTTCCGCTGTATTAAAAGTCCCTGGGGCAGATAAATGTCCAGACCAGACCACAGGGAGCTGCTCATCTTGTTCATTACTTTTCTGTCAAATGCTATTTGTTAAGTGAGTGTTGCTGACAGCAGCAGCTTTTTTGCCCCTGAGGGTGGGAACAGAAGCAGAACGGTGTGAATGTTTGTCCATTTGCCAAATTTCTGTGAAACTTGCTCCTTATTTCTATCTTTGCTCAGTGCCATCCATAGTTAGTTCCTTTCAAACAAAAACTGAGAAAATGTGGTCAGTTCTTGCAATACCAGCATGCATCATGAGATAACTTGTGATTTCCCTTCAGCTTATATCATTACAAAACTAAGCATCTCTCTTTTTCTTACAAATATGTTGCTTTCATGTTCATCAAGAGGACTTGCAAGTGTAATGCTTTTTTGTTTGTTAGTTTAAAGTAAACAGGAAAATTAAACCCACCAGCATTTCCTATATGTCTTCTTTTTAAATTCAGAGTGCTTAATACTAAGCACAACTTGAGATGATTTTTAAAGCTCCTCATTTATTGCTCCTCTGTACTAAGGGCAGAGATGTACCCAGCTTGATGTGCTGATCAGGTTCTGGAAAGATTTTGCAGAAATAGAACAAAACTTGGGATTATACCCTCTGCTGAGGCTGATCAAGAAGTTTCCTTTTGCCACAGTGAAAACTGCACTGTGTTTACATTAAATCTGGCTTTTAGTATATCTGTTTTCCACTCCTCAGTTAAGAGGACATTAACCTGCTTCTTTCCAAGCAGGCTATTTTAGAGGTTCAACAACCCCTCAGATGGTCTGTTTAGGAGAGCTATTCACTGTCCTCTATGAGCAGGATATTTTACAGACCACAGGATCACAGAATATTCTGAGTTGGAAGGGACCTACAAGAATCATCGAGTCCAGCTCTTAAGTGAATGGCCTGTATAGGGATTGAACCAACAACCTTGGCATTATTAGCACCATGCTCTAACCAACTGAGCTAAATCAGTGAGATCAGTGTCTCTGAGTGCCTGCTTACATAAACTACACACAGGGATTCCTGAGGATTTCCATGCCAAGCAAACAAAAGAGTGTTCTTATTCCCATTTCCAGTGTGAGTAGAGTCATTAAATTTTTCCTTCTCTTTAGAAAGGTGGAGAGCTAAAGTAAAAAACTGTCCTGAAAACTCTCTGAATTTAGAGGTAATTAGAACAGGTAATTAGAACATCCAGCCCAAAAATGCACCAGCCTAAGCCTGCCCAAGTGAACTTCTAACAGTAGCCAAAAACCCACTTAGTTTTGGCTGTGAGGATGGGTTGCAGACACAGAACTTGGAAGAAAAAAATATTATTTACACTACCCTAAGTGTAGTATTACTTTTCCTCCACAAAAATAGGACAGGTTTAAAGTGTAGAATTACTAAGTACTGAAGATACACAGTTACCCATTTTCTACCACAAATATATATATCTATATTTCTGTGAACCCAATTGCTGTTTGCTGCCAAGGTACGCTTCAGCAGTCCCTGTGCAGAGCCATATAACCAGCAGCTGCTTTTACAGAGCACTGAGATGTTACAGAATATCCCTGAAAATCAGCAGCATCAAGTTTAATGTGAACAGGGTTCCTAATGTTAGTAAGTAGTTGGGAATTAATGATCTTATTTAAATCAGCAAGGGTCACAGCACTTTAAAACAAATTCTGTAATGAGTAAAAGCACATTTTGGTGATGGGGTTGACTGCTTTGTTGTTTCAAAGTTATTCTACAGAGTAAGTTTTTCAAAACAGCAAATAAAATTGTGTGCAGCACCTACTGCACCTTTCATAGTGAACAGGATGATGTTTTTATAGTGGAGCAGCATCTTGCACAAACTACCAGCAGTTTTTCTACCACTTTTTCAGTCTTTCCCCCCTCATCTTCGTATTTCTTGACTTTTTTTCTTATTATTTGAGCTCAATTCTTGTTTCGGGTTTTTTTTCAGATACAGTAATAGTCAACATGCCATGACATAGTCTTAGCCTGAAGCTATTTTGAGAAAAACAGAAGGAATCTGTAATGGCACTACCGTATTATGTATCATAGTAAAATTATAGCATGTAGTAAAATATGTACCATGTGATATAGTAAAACATTTAAGGCACAGATATGCAGCAAATCCATCTAGCAGTTTTTCTTTCCCCCATTCTCTCTGCGTATCACACCACAATGTGCCATGTAGGCTCTGGCACACATTTGGGCGAGACTGGACAGAAAATAAACTTTTCTCTTCCAAAAAGGTTCTAAGAAAGGGCTTGAAGGGCAGACTGTGTTTTTTCACACAGATGATCAATATAATGTTTTGTTATTATTTTAATATTGCCAGAATTTGGTACCAAGAGATACTAAACATTCCATTGTAATGACACAGTAGGACAAATAATGCCTTTTACTGGTGTCCTTTTAGCATTAAGCAGCAAACAGTAAGTTTCAAATAACAGGATTGTACCCCACAATTCAAAATACAACGTTGTGGGTTAAAACTGCCAATACCAATAGCCCTAGGTGACCCACCTCAGCCTGGCTTTACTTTCTTCTGAATCAGGTAAAAATCCATCTTGTGTTCATGAAAAGCCTTTTTAAACAGGCTTTAAAGGACTGTTTGTTGAGAGGCATCTAAGGATCTGAACCCGGAAATAACAGGCGAATTATTAGATCATACACAGCTGAAGAGAAATAAGCACAATTTATTATTCACATATTTGCCTCTGAAAAGCAATTAACCGAACCCACCAGTAAATTCATTAGCAATAGCAGCAATTACTGCCAGCAGAAGAGCCCTCTGGGCTGTAAAGCATGGGCATAACTGGAAGGAAGAGTGGACAGCAAGAAGTATTTTAGTAGTGCCACATTTTGGTGTGCTTTTCCTGTTGGGTGTCACTGCAGGGTAGGGCTGAGACACAAGAATGAGGCATTCCCCATGAAAAAACACACTGTGAATACACATAAAGATATAAAATCTGAATAGAGTTTTTTGGGTGTGGGTGAGTTTTTGTGTGTGGGTTGGGTTTTTTTGTTTCATTTACACACTCTTGCACTTAACACTTGATAAAAGACAAGGATTTCCTCTTCAGAAAAGGTACTAATGATAATGATTTGGACTTTGTAAGTCCAAATCTTGACTTTCTTGTAACAACGTGATAATCTGTTCTGACTAAAAGGCTTTCTTTTTGTTAGTTACTGTGTTCTGTTCTACAAGCTGACAAGTTAAATAGTTTTATAACCAGTTATTGGCATGGAAAAATAACAGTTAGTTTCAGTTGCTGTCATTCTTCAGTTTTTCCTCATCTGTTGCACTTGTTGATGGCCCAAGTCCGTATCAAACACAAGTCATGAGCCAAGAGATGGCTATTCTTTGGAGCCTGATGCTTCAGGCTGTGTCACCAGAAATCACGTGGCTGAGTGCTGTGGAATTCTGAAAGCTCTTCCGAGTGTGTACATCTGTTTGATGCTCAGCTGCGTTTGGCTCCACTGGCCTTGAGGTTCAGCTCTCTTGGCCTTCTTTTGCTTGGTAGAGATACTTTCTTATAGTAAAGACACTAATGGTGCCTTTGGCACTTGGCAAGCAAGGACAGACAGACCAGACCTAGCTCCTGTTCAGGGGGTAAAAAACCCAAGGGCTGGTGTTGAACATTCTCATTCCTGTCAGGTATTCACATTCCTATGCTGTGTATTCTTAATTAATTTGGGAGCTGTCTGTGTCTGCTTGCCTAGTTTGGAGTACCCATTTACAGTAAATGTTCTGTTGGCTGCATTTGTCCTCAAGGGATATAAAAACTTGACAGATCTCAGGTCCAACTACTATTTTAGCAGAATCATTGGCTTTGTTACTCACATTGTAGGCTGGTTCATACAGCGGCTTTTAACTCTTGAATGTTTGCCTGCATAAATGTGCAGGGGAAAGGGATAAAACGAGACTCGCCAGCAACGAGCAATGGGGTGGCACACCAAAGTTTGAGGGATTGTGTGCCGGTGAGATCCTCAGCCGGCTACACAAGGTGCTGGGTACAAGGAACTGCATCTGAAATGTTGCTACACCAACACATACAGCACAAGGAAAAAGCAAGAGGAGCTTAGAAGCCTTGGCTCAGTCCCAGAGATGCACCAGCATTGGCACAGGCAAAACCTGGGGGGATGAATCCTGTGGCTGATGTGCTGTAATGGATGGTTACAGGCTCTGTAGGAGAGATAGGCAGGGCAGACAAGGCGGGGGAGTGGTGTTGTATGTAACAAAAGGGCTGGAATGTACAGAGCTTCCAGATGGTGATGGCAGGGTTGTGAGCCTTCAGGTAAGGATTAAGGGACAAACAAATACAGCAAGATGTCATTGCGAGAGTCAACTATAGGCCACCCAGCCAGGATGATGACACCAACAAATTAGTCTTTAAGCAACCAAGAAGTACCTGTAGATCAACACAGCTGATACAAACAGGTCCAGAAGATTCCTAAAACACCTGTACTTATTGGTACAAGTACTATGGGAACTGATTAGGAAAGGTGCCTTCCTTGATTTGTTACTTGTTAACAGACAGGGTCTCGTGGATGAAGTGGTGATTTGGGACCATCTTGGCCACAGTGACCATGAAACAATCAAGTTTAAAATCTCCACTGTCAGGAAGAAAAGTGACAGCAAAACTTCAACTCTGGATATGTAGTGAGCAGAATTCAAGCTGCTCAGGGAACTAATTAGTGAGGTCCCCTTTTGAAGGTGCTAGGGTCCATCAGTGATGGTCAGTTTTCAAGTGCCACCTCTGAAGAGCACCGGAGTGGGCAATTCCAAAATTCTGGAAGTCAAGCAGCCGAAGTAGAAGGCTGGTTTGGCTGAGCCGGGATCTTCTTCTGGAGCTAAGGAGAAAAAGGGAAAGTGTATGGCCAGTGGAAGCAAGGCCAGGGGACATGGGAGGACTTCAGAGATGCTGGAGTGGTGGACAGCCAAACTGCCAATCATGTGGCCACTGCTTTGGTGGGAAGCTAAGCAGAGGTGGCCCCACGATAGGAGAGTGCCAGGGACGACTGCCTTCTTGCTTCTGCCTTTTGCTTCTGCCCCTTTCCATTTTGTTTTTTCTTTTCCATTCCTTCCCTTCTTCCCCTCCCTGGCCCTGGATTTTGTCATCCTCCTTCTAAAGCATCCTCGCCCGCGAGGTGGAAATCAGTCGCATGGATGGAAGTGAGAGTACGGCCATCTCCCCATCCTCTTTTTGTCCCTTTGGCATCCATGCCACTGTCGCTGTCCTGTAGACTGGGAGATCGCTCTTGCATTTCCTTTGCACGGGTGTGCGAGGCATTTCTGCCCAGCCAAGGTGGTGGGGGCGGGTGTTCTGTCATCCCCTCTGGGGAGCTGGGCCAAGTTCCGGGGCCTGGAGCCTGTGTGGTGCTGCAGGCAATCGTCTGCCCACGGGAGATAAAGGCCAGAACCAGCCTTCTGTCCGGGCACCTTTTCTGTGGGAGCAATCTTTGGAGATGTATTCAGTATTGGAGGTTGTATCTTTATTTCGGTGCTGGGCTCCTGAAAGAGGATGACAGTGCTTTTACATGGGAAGGAAAGCACCTAGCCCCAGTGTGAATGATGGGCTGCCCAGGAGAGGTAAAGGCCAGAAAGACCTTTCTGTCTTGGAAACTTTTGTGTGGGAGCAATCCTTGGACTTACACAATATTGGAGGTTATATCCAAAAAGTCTGCTGTGAGCTCCTGAAAGGGCATGACTGCTTTAACACGGGACGGAGAGCACCCAGCCCCACCGCACCAGGGGCAGACGACGGTCTCCACAGGGGAAGTCTCCTGGGAGGTGGCGGGAGGCAAAGGCAGGAGGAGTCAGGGCGCTGAGGGCGGTGCCGTGGGTGCCGCTGGGGCGGGAGGAAGGATGCCCGTTTCCCGGCGGAGCCGTCAGCTGACGCCGCCGTTTCCTGGCCGTGCCCGCCATGCTGCGGCTGCTGCTCCCGCTGGCCGCCCTGGCCGCGCTCCTCCGGGCGGCGGTGAGTCCCTCCTCGCCTCTCCCTCCTCCAAGCGCACCTGGGGCCGTGGGGGGCGGCTCCGAGGGGCGCGGGGGGCCGGCGTGGCTGAGGGCTGGGCAGGGGCCTCCTCCCGCCGCTGGAGGAAGGCGCTCCGCCCTTGATCCGTTTTTAATTAAACCATGAGCGATTTGGGGCTCATGGGCGGCGAGCAGGGCGCGTGTGCCGGGATTGTGCTGCGCCGAGGGGGAGGTCCCGCGGCAGGGACGAGGAAGGGTCCGTGCCCTTCTCCCGAGCAGGCCGTGTGGAGCTGGGGAAGGGCTGGCGGTGGCGCCCTCCGGGGGGGGATGGCCGGGGTCGCGTCTGGCCCGGAATGGTGGTGCCAGCTGTCCTCCGGCCAGCGCCGGGGCTCCCTGCGCTCCCGGGAGTCGGGGAGTGCAGGGCCTCGCCGAGCAGCCAAGGGCGGTGCGGGAACCGGTGCCGATCCCAAGGGAAAACTCGCTCGTCCTGTGGTGTCTGAGAGGAGGGAAAGGAGTTTTTCCTGTTCTGCATCGACTCTGTAGTAGGCACTTTGTCCCATACCACTGCCTAAGGACAAATCCTTGGTCTTGACGGTCTTGTGACTCATGCCTTGAGTTTGAGGCAGTGTGTCGCTATTACCTTGGTAGATGGTGCAGTTGAATCGTGCACGGGTGGTTAAAGTTGTATGAAAAGCAGCACAGCCTCAAGTGAGACCTCTATGGAATGGGTGACAGTAAATGTGGGGGAAGTCATGGCTGAGCCTTCCAAAATTCTGAAGGTTGGTGGGTAAGAGGAATGGAGAACGAATACTCACCAAATTTGGTAGTATTAGCACTCCTGGGGAACTTAATAGATTAGTTTAAAACAGATTAAATACTGTAAAAATATATAGTGAGTTTCAAGAATTTGCTGCCATGTGAGGTTGTAGAAGCAAACAGTGTTTACTGGATTCAAAAAATTGGATTTGCCAAATTTAAATTTATCAGGTTCATAAACAACATCCAGAAATGACTAGGCAAGGATTTGCTTTCGAACATCCCTAGTGTAGCAGCTTTATCAGCTGGAGGAGTATGAGGGAGCAGACCACAGACAGTGGCCAGGGTCATGTAATTTCTTTAAACAGCATTTCTTGTTGCGGTTGTCCAGACAGAATATTACCTGGTGTCTAGAGGACCTATGGACTTGGATCAGTAGATTAGCAGGGCATTTTTTATGCTCTTATCCTTTCTAGCTTTGTTTGTGTAAAATAGCAGTTTTTTAATATGAGAGCTTGAGGAACTGAGGGTGGCAGACACGGTTTTTCTTATCAGCCCACATTTCCCTGACACAAGCAATGAGGGAAGGGATCCTTTTAAAACTTGCTCTAGTCTTCGAAATAGAGCAGGGTCCTGTTATCAGGGAGCTGCTAATGTTCTTTTAAATTAGCTTGGGAAGGTATATGCTACAAATAAGCAACCTGGCAAACTACGGTTTTGAGACTTCTGGGCTCAGGCTCACTGCTGAGCCCACCAAGGCTGCTTTTGCGTCCTAGTTCTGAGATATTTTTGGCTGTAATGATTGCTTTTTCTCTAGTTAAAGTGTGGACTGAGAGACAGGAAGTGTGTTGAAAATAAGCATATGGCACTGCATGACTGTTATGTCAGACATGATCTCTATTGTATATTATGAAAGACCATCCAAACTTTTTTCATCTACAATCAAAATGAAACAGTAGGTTTGTTTTAAATAGAAATATGCGTGTGTAGAAACACTGTGACTGAGCAAAATACAGAGCAAAGCAGAGAATTCCGGTGCAATTCAAACATAATTGATCCTTGTTTGTTTTCAATCTGTGAGCAGATATGTGGTAGACTCTGCTCCCTTCTAAAGGAGCAGAGTGTGGGACGTTTTGATCCCTTTTCAACTAATCCCTGTTAGAATAGGATATGCTGAAATAGCCATTGAAACTTGGAAACTGTACACGTAGTGGAAGTGGTCTGGAAGCGAGTAGCAAAACACAATGTGAGTTTCACTGATCCTACTGATTTTCAGGGCTTTGGAGAAGTCTGATTCGCAACTGCAGGCAAGGATATCTGCTGATACATCATCTGCAGTTTCTGGGACCACAGTTGCATCTGGTAGCTGTTCCAGTGGGGATTTCACTGCTGCTGTAGCATGTGTTAGTAGAACCTCTTGCATTCGGTAAGAATGAGGTAGGGTGATGCCTGCTTTTCGGATGGAGCCAACTGCTTGGGAAGAAGAACAGAAAACACATGTTAAATTAATATCAGAAACAACTTAGTCCCAGAACATGTATGAAATTTCCAAATACTATAATGATTGTTTCCAGCACTCATTGCATCCCTGTTGCGATCTATTGCCATCTGCTATAAGGAAGTCTTAATGAGAAAAGAGCATATTAAAAAAAAAAAAAAGGGTGGGGGAGGAATCATAGAGGGCTGCAGGCAGGGAGCTTGGAAGGGGACAGCCAAAATCCAGTCTTTTCTGTTGTCTGATTTATTCCACATCAGGACATCTCCTCTGTGTCTTTATAACAGTGATTCTGCATGACCCAGCATCTTGGGTAGTACGTAGAGTAACATCCTTTATTGCAGTCTGGGAAAAAGGGAATGTGTGTAATATTTTAAAACGGCTGATACTGGTTCCTGGTTGCAGGCTTTGTTGACCCAAGGCACCCCTTCATAACCACATTATTGCCTACTGGAGACTTCTGCAGAACAGAAGGGAACGGTCAGGAAGCAAGATGATCTCCTTCAAGCAACTGCCCCTTGAAGCAAAGGCTGCAGTGGCTGCAGGAATGGTTTTCTTCTCTATGATGCTGTCACGGAGTTACCTGGCAGAAAAACTCGATCTCAGGATGCGGCACTGGGTTCTAAGGCTGCAGATGGCACTATTTACCAATACACTCATGCTGATGGGATCTCTTCATGTTTGGAAAAGCACAGTCACCATGTTCACCAGGTCTTCAGCTGCCAACTCCCTCTGTTTCATGCTGTGGAAAATAGCTGTGTTCATGTTTCTAGCTTTGGCTCATTCAAGCTTCTTTACATTGCTATTTCTTGTTGCAGAAGAGCCCTATTTCTTTTCTTTAGCTGCCTACACTTGCCTTGGGGCCTATATCATTCTCATCTTCTTCCTCTTCACTCTAGGCTCTGTAGAGCAGGCTTACAAGTTCTTGGTGGGGAGAGGCACTAAGGCAGGCACTGGCAACAAGAACAGAACAGCAATGAAACCAGTTTTGGCAGTCATGCTGACTCTTGTGCTGACTGTTGTCGGGCTGTTAAATGCTTCCCAGCCTCCTGCTGTGAATTCAGTGGAGATTCCAGTTCACAAGCTGCCCTCAACCATGACTAACCTGAAAGTGGTGTTGCTTTCAGATATCCATCTGGGGCCTACTGTTGGGAAGACCAAGCTTGCCATGATAGTGAGAATGGTTAAGGCTTTAAAACCAGATATCACGGTGATCGTTGGGGACCTGACTGACGCTGAGGCAGAGATCATACGACCTGCTGTTGAGCCTCTTGGAGAACTTGATTCCCCTTTGGGGACGTACTTTGTCACAGGAAACCATGAGTACTACACATTAGATGTTAGCAACTGGTTTGAGCTGTTAAAATCATTTAACATTCAGCCACTGCACAATGAGAATGTGAAGATTGTTTCACCAAAGAGCACTGATGACTGGTTCTGCCTGGCTGGCGTGGATGATATTGAAGCAGATGCATTACGCTACTCGGGACATGGCATGGATTTGAAAAAAGCTCTCAGAGGTTGTAGCAGTGAGCATGCGATAGTGCTTTTAGCTCATCAGCCAGTTGCTGCAAAGTGGGCCCTTCAGGAGAGACCAGACATAAATTTAATTCTCTCTGGCCATACTCACGGAGGGCAGATTTTCCCTCTAAATGCTGGAGCTTATCTTCTGAATCCATTCTTTGTTGGCTTGTACAAAGTTGGGCAGAACACCTTTGTCTATGTCAGCTCAGGGACGATGTACTTTGGAATACCCATGAGGCTGGGCAGCAGAGCTGAAATAACGGAGATAATCCTACGTTCTGCTTGAGTTTGCCATTTGACAGACTTCTTCCGTTCTTTTTTTGGTCAGTATATTGGCTCTTCTGCTGTGAAAGCAAATCCTTTTTCAGGGAAGCCAGAGAAGATGTATTGGGCTGAACTTCAGCAGGTTCTATTGAGTTTGAGCAGAAAACACTAAACTGTATCTTGGGCCTATGAAAGAAATTTGGGGCATGTTAAAATACTGAAGAAGTTAGTTCTTTGAGTTCACTATCATTGAGATTCTGCATTGAAAGCTAATGCTGATGTCATGCAGATAATGTGTGTCCTGTGCATGTTTAGTAATATCTGTTTCCTGCGCCTACTTGATTTTCCAGTGTTTGCTATCTATCAGGCAGCTGCCTTATCCAGTCTCAGGCAGGCAAAGTTCTGATCTCATGCAGCGAAATCACTCGTGCATGTTTTGCAGAAGGGACTGCAGAGTGCCCACTGAGTATGCAGAATCTAGAAGTCTTATGCTAGAAATGTTAGGGGAAGGGAGTAGTTGAGGATTTTTTTTTTTTTAATCGAGGCTGGATATCCGTATCCTTCTAGCTGTCTGCAACATGCACGAGGGCTTCCAGTCTGTGCTTACTAGTACAGTAAGTTGCCAGCCATCAGTTCCTGAAATCCAATTTTTTCCAGTTAAAAAGTTGGTGAGACTGACATCAAAGGATGAAAGTAGCAGTCATTCTCAGGCATTTCCCCAGAATAGCTGAGCATCTAGTAATTACTTACTGAAAATAGCTCTAATAAAAGCAAATGAGAAAGAAATTTCAAAATTAATTTCTGTTGCTGTCTAAGCATGCAGTACCTCCTGATGTAGAGCACAAAATCCGAAGCTGAAATACTAAGTGTCTTTTCATTCTATGTTTTTTTTTCTTTCTACCTAATTTCTGCT